CGTAGATCACACAGAAGAGCTTTCGGTCCCCATTTCGGAGCCACGTACTCTCAGTGGCCTCCCAAGTGTCATACGCAATGCCTACGAACCAGTCTAGCACTCGACTAAAGAGTTCAGCGCTATAGGGACTCCCTTGTAGGAGTCCCTGATGGAGTTTTTGGGTCCAGCGCGCCGCCCCAAAACTGATGCAAATGCTGGTCGCCAGTATTACTTTGAGAAGGGCATGGCTCTCCTGCAGCGGTCCTAGGCTGGCTAGCCACGTGCTGACAGCTTCGTGTCGTAATGTGTCGAAAGCTTGGGAGATGTCTATGCGCATGGCTACCAGGGGTTCCCCCCATTCCTGGCTGAGTCGCACAACATGCTGGACTGTGGCAGCCCCATCCAATCCCTGTGCCCCGTCTATGCCTGAGAGTTGGTTTGCCCTCGGGCTACTGCAATGCGTCCTAATGCGAGACCACAGGATCTTCGTGAAAATCTTTCCCATTGCCGCCGAGAGGCATATAGGTCTTAGGTCCTTAGGGACCCGCGGCTCCTGCTTCTTAGGCAGCAGAGCTACCTGTCCCGTCAGCCATTCCTCTGGTACAGGTTCCACATTGTTGAGTACTTCTGTCAGAAAAACAGCTACACTAGGAGCGTGCTTGGACTGCATCATGACCTGGATGAGTTCATACGGGATTCCATCCATGCCCGCGCTTTTGCCATGCTTGCATCTGGCAAGAGTAGCCAGGACTTCCTCCACTGTGATATCCCTTGGCTTTTCAAGCTTTCCAGCACGACTCAAGAACATAGCTTCAGCTAGACCAGGCATGGCCGGGTCTTGCGGCGTGTATTTTCGTTGGTAGAAGCTCCTGAGATCAGCAATGGCTCTGTCTTCACCCCCTGCTCGAATGATGTACGAGCTCTGCGTGCTCTGAGCCGATTGCCGCTTCTTGAGGTATGATATGGCCGTAAAATCACCTTGAGAGCTTCGAACTAGGATTTCCTCCATCCATGCTTTCTTGGCTTGTGCTCGCATATGTACAATCTCAAGGGCCAGAGCCCTCGCCTGAGCTCCGGCGGTCCTTTTTCGTCGTTGAATTAGGTCCTTGATGGGCGGGGGATCTCGGTACCTACAACTGTTATCACGAAAAGTCGTCTTACCAGCGACTCCTTGAAGTACTGCCTGCGGGTTGGTTTGGAGGAGAGCGGCATCGAACTCCTCTAAGGCCCTGGCCACATTGACTCTCCACTTGCCACATTTATGTGTTTGATGTTTGCGTTCCTTCGTGCGGGGGTGTCTTAGGGCACGGAAACCAACCGTCACAGCTTTGTGGTCGCTACCAAGCAGTCTGTCTGAGTCCGGAACGACCGTCTGACAGACAGTGTCAAGGCCCGGGCTTCGGTAGCATAGGAAGTCGATCCGAGAGGAAGCTCCTCGGGTGTTTGACCACGTGGCCTCCCCAGGAGTAGTGCTGGAGAGACCGAGTTCCTGCTTCAAGGTCTGCCACATCATGGCTCTTTCATCACTTTGGTGGGTACGTGGCACATGCTCAAGCAATTCATAATTCGTGTCGGCTCCTATTACTATGGTGTCATGCATTCTGATTCGTGCAGTGAATTCTCTAGTGGCGTGCATCATGTCAGTCCAGACTTGCAGACAGTCCTCTCTTTGCGAGTGCGGTAAATGCATACTAATTAGAAATGACTGGATTCCAGACTGCTTTAGTCTGAGCGCGAGACCGGCCGAAAAAATGCGTACCTCGGTAACTCGATTGGCCATATCCAGCGGGATTCCCACTGCCTGGCCTCGGAAAGAATTAACTGGGCTCGCCAAGTAGAAGAGCATGTGTCTACCCCCCAAATCTATCTCCTGAGTTTTCCATGTTTGCTCTGAAAAGTCCAGTCCTCCCAGCTCCTGCAGAAAAACAAAGTCTGTACCACTCAGATCTAGGACGTCCCAAACTTCGCAGAGGCTATTCAAAGGTTTACCACGGAGATTCCAGGAGACAGAGTGAAGGACAGGCGCATGCTCAAGGACGTGTCAGGGGTTTCTCTTGGGCCTGTTATCTCCCCCATACTGGTGCCACAGTTCCTGGAGTGCCGTTTCTTCATACCCCGTCGCAGCCGAGAAAGCTCTGGCAGAGACGAACCAAGACGTGTGATTGCCTCGTGTATCGGGCACAAATTGGTCGTATGCTTGGACCTCTGAACCGTGCTCAGCATTCCCAAGGACCTGGTACCTCCCAACCCAGAGTTTGCCTCTCCAGTCGATCTCTGGCTCTTCAGGGATCGTTCGGGGCGGGTTGGGGGAGGGGGGGAGGGACTTGAAGAACTCTTTGGCTCCCACAAGGGCCCTAATCTTTGCGCGCGTTTCAGGGCTTCTATGCTTGGTGATCCAAAGAGTAGCCTCGTTTTGGTCCGGGAGTGCACTGGTCCAGGTATCCTTTCGCAGGTCATCAAGGATACGCGTCTGAAAGAGTCTCCTTTGGGCAATGGGGGCATCAGGGTCTGGGAATCGTAGCTGAACTCTAACAAACGAGGTTCTGGTGTAGGGTGCCCTAATGGTGGTCCAGTCTCCGTCGTGCCCGGTGGCCTGAAAAAGGCTCTGGACCTCATTCTCTGCATCTGAGCGCCTGGCGTCCCTCCAGCCTCCAACCACAATGTCTAGTTCTTCTTCCGACTCTCTCTCTCTTTGTGCTGACGGGGACCTAGGAGGGGATCTGTCGTTGCGAAACCGTGGACTGCCTGGCTCGCGTCCTCGAGGCGGGGTTTGAGATCTACGAAGATCCTGAACTTCCTTCTCAAGTTGTGAGATCCTACTGATGGATTGTTCATGGAGATCATTGTGTATCCGTGCAGTTTTCTCAAGGGTCTCAACTCTGACTTTCTGGGTTTGCATTTCTGTGCCTAGATCCAGCAGGTCCTTGTGTGAGCGATCTTGCTTATGATGTAGGGCAGACATGCTTTGGGTGAGGTTCTGCTGCAACATCATGACCCAGGGGGGGGTTTCAGCCGGCAGAGGCCGAGCAGGTCCGTCCGCTGGAGCATGGGGGAATTGCCCAGCGAGTCGTGTGTCATGTCCAAGTGCCGCAGCCAAAGCCGCAGACTCAGCAGTCATAGCCTTTCCAGCATGATTAGGCCCCGGACGTGCTCGACCCAGCTCGTCCCCTGCCTCGTCCTGCGATTCACAGGGCTCCTGCTTAACTTGCGTTTCAAGTGTCTTGTCCTCCTCAACCTCAGTGTCATCTCCATCCGAGAGACTGTATGTTTCAGGGGGCGGTTTGGGGGCATTCTGGTGGCGAGTGCCAAAACCTGGTAGCCCCGGAACAGGCTGCTGTCCATCAGTGGTCATGTCGGTATCTGTGATCATCACAACACTACGATCCTCCCCATCTAGTTTTGGTTTTTTGGGATTCGGGCTTTTGGCACAAGCTTTATCCTCATCACTCGACACAATCCCCGTGGCTCCTGGCGTCACCAGAAGGTTGGGGACTCGCATGGCCTGGGGGGGTGGGGAGATTGCCTCCCGCTTAATGGATTTCGTCGCAGTTGTGCTCGATCCAGGCGCAAGGAGGCCAAGGAGGTCCGAGTCAATAGCAGTATCATTGCGCCCATTCTTGTCCGAGGGAACAATATTGTTGGGGGGGTAAGTCACCTGCTCATCTCCTGTGGGGAAACCTCTGAGGTTAAGGGGCCTTTCATGAATTCGACCAGGCAGTGCAGCTGTATCACTTCGAAGACCCAGGGGAAAGGCTGTCGTAGCACCCTCAGATTCTTTGCTTTTTCCTTTGTCTTTCTCTCGCTCAGCTCTCTCCATTCCTGAGCTCCCGGCCGTCTCAGCAAGTGGTGGTATTTTCTTCTTCTGACCCCCCGCACTTCCACCCGCAGAATGTCTGGCATGACCTCCCAAGACAGTCCCTCTTTCGTCCGTTTGGGCGGGCATCTCAAGGATACTCCCATGATGCCCAGCAGTAGGCACTCGTTTTCGCGCCACTTCATTGGGGGTTGTCATGTGGGCCCTGTCTTTCTCTTTTCTCTCTTTTCAACCCCTTTTTTCACGGGGGCACGAAGGGGCACAAAAGGGGAGAATAAGGGAAAAGGAAGAAGAGAAGAAGAAGAAGATAAAGGGAGAGAAGACTGGAGAGCCCCCGGTTTCACTAATTCCAAACCGCTTCAATATCACAACAAGTTATTCTCCTCGGGAAAGAGGACCTCAGACTGCTCAGACGCCTCCTTTTTGGCTTGATCCTTGAGCCATTTGGGCTTGAGCCATTTGGGTTTAGGGTTAAGGGTTTAGGGTTTCGGGTTTTGGGTTTAGGGCCTTCCTTCCTTCCTTCCTTCTTTCCTTCCTTCCCTCCTTCCTTCCTTCCTGCCTTCCTTCCTTTGGTCCTTCTTCCTTCCTTCCTTCCTTCCTTTCTTCCTGTCTTTCTTTCCTTCTTTCCTTCTAAAACCTACAAGAAATAACGCTTTCCTATGAAAAGACAGAGGGAATTACGGCTTTTCGTACGAAAAACCACGAAAATGCATCAAATCCTTTAAAAAATATAGAGGGAATGGTGGTTTTCTTAGGAAAAACCAAGAAAATCGACAAAAAAAAAAAAGACCCCAAAAATAGGCCCTCCCCTCAAAACGCTTGGAAATTTTACGGGAGTTTAGGGGCCTCGAGAAACTTAGAAACGTTATGTGAGTTTAGGGGCCTCAAATTGCTCAGAGACGTTAAGGGAGTTTAGGGGCCTCAAGAAACTGAGACACTTTAAGAGGGTTCAGGGGCGTCAAAACACTTCGAGACTTTAAGGGAGTTTAGGGGCCTCAAAACGCTTAGAGACTAGGGGCCTCAGGGAACTTAGAAGTTTTACGTGAGTTTAGAGACTTCCAGGACGTTTAGGGGCCTCAAAACGCCTAGAGACTTCAATGAAGTTTAGGAGCTTCAAGAAACTTCGTGCCCGGACCACTCACGTTCTCAGGCAATCTCACAAAACTCGGCAACAACTCGGCAAACCACCCTTTAAAGTCTGAGGCTCTTCACTCGAGTGATTGAGCCCACGGGCCGCTGCCGAGTGCCGAGCTCAATCACGTCAATGGGATCCTTACAGAGACTGCCACGAGAATACACCACACAGCTTGGTACAACCTCTCGATGCTAACACAACGGCTGAGCTTGGGGCATTGTCACCCGGGAACCCGGTCTCCTCGCTAACATGTTTGGGATCTTCCCACGTCTGCGGGAACGCCCCATAGTTGAAAAGCATATCGCCCCACTTGTAATCGCGGAGGACGCCGTTCTTCACGTCCTGCTTGATGGGGTTCATGGTTTCTCCAGTGGCAATCTCGTACTTCTTTCTGGTCCACTTCGGGATTTCGCAGACGAAGTTGTACGAGCCATCCGGGTTTCGAAGTGGAATATCGTGCCATGGGGACAAGCGCGTCCCATCACTTTCGAACCAAACGCGGAACCGACGAGAGCCGATCTCGCCCTCCGTGACAGATTGGATAGAAGCTATGGTTGGCTCCTTGAGGCGTGACTGGAGCACCTTGAAGCGTTGTCGATAGCGCTCCTGCGAATAGTACCTCAAACGCACTACCACATTCGGGAAGACACAGGCACTACCCCGACATGCCATATGCCCGGATTACGTGCATTGCACACCGCCTGCAGACCCGAGAGTACCTTCCTGCAGTGTCCACTGGCTAGCTCTGCACAGAGCGCAAATTCTGGAACACCACTTAACGGTATCAAGTTAGTAGAAGTTGCTCGCGCTACCGGCCCACGAAGCGAGATGCAACATCTTCGTTGCATTACTTGGTGACTTCTGACCTACAATAGAACTAGAACACAAAGTAGAAGACGTCGCTCTTCACCGGCCTAGTCGCCGGAACTTACAGGGGTGAATGGAGCACCCTCCCCTCGAAAAACCCACAAAGAAGTAGTGTTGACAACGGCTACGTACTTACACCGGTGCATCGAAGCAAAGCCGGGGCGCTTGTCCGGATCCGCACCGACGTCATGCAGCTCATTCCACCACCCCATGAAAGTGTCGAAGCTAATGCACACTTTCCTCAGTTCAACTACGCTGGCTAAGGAGTCGAGTCGCGATGGATAGTTTCAGATCTGGCATGCCGTAAATTTGCACGTTTTGCACGTTTGCCGAGGCCTCTGGCGAGTGTGTTCACTCAACGGAACGGCGTTTCCTTCCATGGTAACCCCCCTGTTGTCCGCTTCTGTGGCTCTGTCAGATACCTCCGGCCACACCGTTCTTAGAATGTGACGTAGCAACGTGGCTGCGGCTGCACCGTGACGGCTGCCCACAGTTTATCGGACTCTAAGTTTGCTGATATTTCTGTGAGGCATCGCTTTGGCTCTTCGGCACGCCTGAGGCATTTTGTTGCTTCGGCCATGCCTCGGCCGTGCAAAAGGCCATGCCTTGGGGCGTGCCTTCCGCCGTGCCTTCGGCCTGTCTTGCTCAGATTCCCACCTCTTTCCCTCCGGAGTGCTTGTCCTTTCCAGCTGTCCAGCTATCGCTAACTGTTTGGCGGACCCATTTTTGGTTTGACTTTGATTTGTGCTAGCAGCTGACGCTGCGGCGTCCTCGCAACCTCAGCCTGAGCCATGGTGTAGCTTTGCGATGTGCCCTGCGAAGCACCTTTGGATGCACACGTGCACTCGCACAGCAAATTGCCAGAAAATGACAAGCAAAACTGAAAACCCTTCAAGCTTTGGTGGACCAAGGACTTGAGCAGCTCAAAAACCCCAGAAATATACAAACTCCGAAGTCACAACAATGCAGTGTCTGGCTGGACCATGTGTCGTTTTAGATGGTGTGTCGAAGAACGTCATCATCTTCTTTTCGTCCTCGTCGTCCATGGGCTCACCTAACAGGTTGTGAACCTTTATGACGTCGTTGACCTCAACAGATTCTCAACGATCAAAAACATTCCGAACAGTCCTAGAGTCCTAGAACCCAAAAGCCCACAAAAAATGCCCCAAACCAGCGGCACAAGATGCTCTTGCAGGCCATGCTGCTGAAATCAACTCATTCGTAGTTGTGCACAGCCGCATGAAAACGTTCTTCATGGCCTTGACTGCTTCTGGCGAGTCTTTGACAATCACCGCCTGACCCGTCTTCGCCTGCAACACTGTCCTGAGCTCCACAAGCTGAAGCAGAGGAACAGGAGCTGAATCCAAAAACGCCAGCAAATGGGCCCGACATTTCTCAGGTCATCATCAGGCCTAAGGAGTGCCAGTTTTTGCCTGAGTTGAGAGTTGAGACCACCGCCCCTTCCCTTCCGGACCTGCGAAGAAGCGGCGACTTCCCTTCAGGTGTGCTCAGCTCGTAGGCATTGGGCCCTAATTCCTTGGCCACATGCGAGACTTGCCGGGCCATCTCGAATGTCTCTCCTCCTCAGCACACAGCGGTGCAGAAACAGCGCTGACTATGAAAGCCTTGGTTTAAGAGAACGAGTGGCTCGACCGAGACCTGAAATAAGAAATCTCGGGTCCCTCGGATTTGGGGCCGATGCTTCTCATCTTAGGGGCCTCTCGGGCGTACGGGCATTCAGAAATGCAGGCAGCAGCACCTTCACCTTGGGCTTGAACCTGGGATCTACGCCCGCAGTAAAATTGAAAGACAATCCAGGGTTCCTTCAACTTAGAAGCTCGGCAGTACATAGCCAGTACAGCACGAAGAAAGTCAGAGGGGCCTCAGGGGCCGGGGCTGATTTCTGAAATTGAGTCTTAAGTCACTCCCGAGCCTTGAACCCTCACAACTCGGAGCCCTTCTCAGGCCCGAAAGAAGATGAGAAAATGGAGGGCTCGTTTTCTTAAATCTAAGAACATGAGGGACGCGTCTTCTTAAATCAAAAATGAGTGGCTCGAATTTTAACATGTGCAAAACGAGGGGCCCGCTTTTCCTAATTTCCATGTGGGGCTGGAAATGTGATTTCCTCATCTGCTGATGGGTGGGCCTCCTTGACTTGGAAGGGTTGGGGGAGGGTTTTTGATTGGGAATGGGTTTGGGACTGTTTGGAGGGTTTTGGCATGGAGAAGAAGAAGAAGAAGAAGAAGAAGATGAGGGGCTCATTTTCTTGTTTTAGTCTTCGGCCTGGCGGGAGTTCCCTACCAGACCTACCCAAGCTCCAAAACCCAATTTGCCTCAATTCTTTCAAATCTAGTACTCAGAGAGTTGGCTTGTTTCGGGACCTAAGGACTTTACTAACAAAATTTAGGGTATCCTCGGGGTGTGAAGCTGTATTTTGTGACAAAAAGTGGAAGGGGTGCGTCACCGTCACTGGCGCTGTACCACACGACAGCCCTGCCCCCAGGGCCGTTCGGTGCTTCGGCCAGGCGGCGGAAAGCGGCTTCGGGGCCAGCCGGGGCAGCCTCCAAAGCACTTCAGGTTTCAATTCAAAGTGATTCAAACCCATGTCCAACCACCCAAGCGGGCTTAGCATGCCTGAAAGTTCATGGACGAAAGCTTGCCGACGAGGTAAACCAGGACGCCCTGGCGTGCTGGTCTTGGGCAAGGAGGAAGAGACGCACGACCGGAACTCCACGCGCGAGCTCAGCTGTCTCCATCTAAGAAACCGACGACGGTGAAGAGGTTGACGACGGCGGACAGAAGAGAAGAAATCCTGGGATCACAGCTGGTCAAATTCTCGATGGGAACTATACACGCTGCAAGATAGGACTTGATCCTGGCACGCCAAGGATCGACTCAACTGCGGACCTCTCCGGAACCACTACTTGCTGACCTGCTACCAGCAAGCTTCGACAGGTGCCGTTCACAGGCCCCTTCACAAGCAAAGCAAAGCGTAGACTGCGGCCTCCTGCAGAACAAGAGGGCAGATCAGCGCCTGCCAACGCAGCGGATCTTAGCGGTCATGATTAATGATTGGCCTTTGGCGTCCCATGGTGCCGAATGGAGCCGCATGGAGCCACAGCCACAAGGCCCGCCTTGCCACAGGCACAGGGCCAAGGTGGCCACCACAATGGCGGACACCTTGCGGCCTTAGATCGTAGAACTGGCAAATTGATGCCATCCCTTCCTGCAATGTCGCAGCATAGACCCAAATGAACGCCGGGCCAAGCTGCGACCATTTCCTCTGTTGAGGATGAAGCCCACTCGGAACGCCATGGTGGGGCTCTGAGCCCGACGCGGCAGGTCAAAGACAAAAGAAGGCACAATGCCGAATCAAAAGCATCTGTCCAAACGCCAACATGAGCGACAGCAACAATGGGCACACTCTATTCGCAGAACTATGCTAACTATGCACGCTGGATGCGTCTTTGTTTCCGTGGGATCCCCAAAATCCTGTCAGCACGTCGTCCATTGAAATGAAGTTTGAGAAGCCAAAATTTCCACACCTTGCTCTCAGAAGCTCACTGGATGGAGCAATTGGACTTCTCGGATTTCTCGCTGGGTTTCTGCGTTCCGGCCGTTGCTCCGGCAGTTGCGGCTGGCACTTCCTCGGGCGTTTCCAGGGAGGTGACCGGAGCCGGAGTCGGCACTGGGGCCGGAGTTAAGACTGGGGAGCCTGATGCCGGGGCGACGCCGGGTGCTGGGGAAGGAGTGTAGGCAGGCGATGGGGAAGAAGCATAGGCTGCGTACGCAGGTGCTGGGGAAGGAGCCAGGGCTGGGGAAGATGTCGCGGGTAAGGAGGCCTGGGCCGGTGCTTCTTTGATGGCGGCTGGCTGGGTGTGCCAGACTGTCTGGGATGCCGCCGGGGTGTTGGAGCTCAAAGAAGGGAACTGCTGCGAACTGGACAGGTTGGCAGTGAAGGGACTGACGGGGCCTGACTGCGCCATGACTTGAGCAGGGGCAATGGTCACCTTGCTCTCGGTCACCGGGGCCGGGTCATAGTCCTGAACGTCACCCGCAGTGCCCCACGTGTAGGACCCTCCTGCGCCTCCCTTCTTGGGCGCCTGGTTGATTGTGGAGATAGCCATGCGGGAACGCCTATCCTTTTCAGGGATGACGGCGGTCCGCACAACCGGAGCTCCGGGAGTTCTGACCGGAGCCGGAGCGGCGTAGGGGTAGGACACTGATGGATAAGATGCTTGTGCCGTGTAGGCTGTTGGGGCAGCGCCTGCGATGACTCGAGTCACTGGCTGCGGGGCAGAAGCTGCTTGGACCATCGGCGCAGGTGTCGGGCTTGTCATGGTGACCGGGACCGGGCTGGGCATTGCTGTGGCCGGAGCGGTCTGGTAGAGCGGTCGGTTCCATGCGGTAGCAGGCGCTTGCACAGTCCGAGTTCCCAAGGAGGGGAACTGCTGCGCACTGGCCAAGTTGGCAGCGAAAGGAGCCGCTGCAGCCTGAACTTGTACAGGAGCTGCTGCTGCAGTAACCACCTTCACCGGTTGCTGCACACGGCTGGCATCAAAGTCCATGGAGCCATCCGTCGGCGACCCCCAAGTAAATGCTCCACCAGCTCCACCCTTCTTTGGAGGAGCATGAACTGTCGATATGGCCATACGAGATCGTCGATCCTTGTCCGCCTCCGCCATATCTGCCAGGCTCTAGGCACTCTAGATGTTGCCTGGTCTTATACGACACTTCGCGCGGGGGCGAATGCTTGAGACGAAGCGGCGGCTGAAAGTACAGAGCTTCACACGGGTGTAAGTATGTGGCTCATGTAGATGCGGCATGCCGTCATGGAAGGCTGGTTGATTGGTGGGCTGAGGACGCAGCTGACCTCTGCCCTCACCCGCTTGAGGTTGCCCTTCCTCAAGTGCACTTACCCCACGCGTTCCGAAGCCTATCTGGACGCGCGCCACAAAATGGAATGTCTCCTGCACCAGCAGCCCACCGTCACAACGGGTCCAGCTTCGGCTCCAGTGAGAACACGGTAGACGGCGTCTGACACGATGGGAAGCCTTGTGGTTCAGGAAGAACTCAACATGAAGTGACATGAAGTGACATGAAGTAAACGCCCGCCATCAGCAGCCCCTTCATCGAGGCACAGGAGGTTGGCGCGGTCCAAAATGCGCGCGAAAGGCTTCCTGGAGTGGCAAATGCGGAACCTCCTCACATCTCACGCTACCTCACAAAGGACGAGAAAAAAAGTTTAAAGCCGGCACTGCAAGTCTCAACTTCGTCAGGAATCGTCCAACATTGAGCCCCTCGCTCTCGAACAGGCTCATCAATTCTCAGACATGTTCCTGCTTACCCTACGATCCCCTACGTGCCTGCCATGGAAGCAAAAACTTAGACTAGAACAGGTTCCTCGGCTGCATTGGATGGATGACCAAGGCGTTCTTGCCGAAAAGCAAGGTGGAGGCCTTCGCTGGCATTCAGATACCAGCAGTTGCCCCTGGTCATAACTTCGCTTTCTGATGGGCTGGCCCTGCTGCGGGGCTGCTTTTTGCGCGGTAAAATCCAGCAACTCCTTCGTGCTCCAATAAAAAGCGCTGTTGGATCGCCAGCCGTTGCCAAGCGGTTCTGGCACACGGCGGCAGCACTTCCTTGCTTAAATCAATCATGCCCGGTGAGCCACGGCCACCTGGTTTTAGATGGCTTGGCATGTAAATACTTTGAACACATATCCTGGCCCATCAGCCTTCAACATCTTCAGCCGAATCCTTGGCTGTGCAGAAAAGTACTCCTCGCTTCGCGCGAGCTCAAGCCTTCATGTGCAGCTCCGGCACCAAACCAGTTCCAGAACGACTTTGCGCCCTCAGAGCACAACGGGCAAGAATACCCGCCACAACTCCGTTCCCACGCGCAGATTGCACGCAAGCTGCCTCGTCTGCCTCATCTTTCCTTGCGATGCGGCCATCCTCCATGATTGCACCTCAGATATGAGCTGCTGGGATCTGGCTCATTGCTGAACCGGCAGAAATCTAGGGCTGCAACGCTTCATTTCTTCGACGTCCACGTAGCCATCATGGTTAAAATCCATGTTCTCCAAGACCTGGGCAGATTTCAGATGTCGGTTGCTGCAAGTATATTTGTATCTGTTGTATCTGAGCCCATTGCATCGTCCACATCTTCGTAACTGCACTCGAAAGCATCACTTTGCAGCAATGTCCGTATCTCGCTCTCTGAGAGGTATCCGTTGCCATCCATGTCCATCCTAGGGTTTCTTCGCAAAATATGTTTAACCTCCGGCAACATGAACCCAAAACACATGCGACCATAGCCAAGCATCTCATTGAACAGCTCGCAGACCAGCCTGGTTCTGAGGCAGATAACATACGGGAGACTGGCTTGCTGAGCAAACAAATCGGCGAATATCGCAAGCAAGGAACTGAATGCTCCGCCTTTCCTTTTCCTGCCACGAAGCACGGGAGGGTATAGCCACACACAGGGACACACATTCCCACACGCACACTTTTTGAAAGAACCACCCGTTTGGGGTAAACTCTCAAGCTTCTAGCGAAGGCCGCAGGAAACATCCTTGTCCAGTTATCTTGCCTTTCATTCCGGTTCCCATCTTTCCTTGCTCCTGTACCTTTAGCTCTGCCTTTCTGCCTTTTGTCCACCTTTCCTTTGTGCATTCCTTTCTTGTTGTTTTCCTTTTCCATTCACTCCTTTGCTTGAACATTCCACTTCCACCTTTCGGTACTGACCTTTAGCTTTCAATGCTGCAATATCCATTGAAACTCTCACTCCTGACGCTGGGCACAGCAAGGTGCCTACTCTTCATGCACAGTAAACTTGGAAACAATCCCAGTCGGCAGATGCAGCGGCAGTGGACCAAGCAATGTTGACTCATTCAACCAATCAACCAGCCAACCAACACAACAAATTGTGCAGACTATTGCCGGGGGATTTGAACCGCGCACGACACCTTGACGACTTCTTGCAAAAGGTTGTCGTACAGCACCAGCGGGCCCTGGACAAGGCAGCAAGGCACGAGCTGAAGGCACCAGCTGAAGGCACAAACTGAGGGCACAGAATCCTAGAGTCCTGCACCTGAATGCAGGACATGAAGTCATTCAAAACACCCTGATCAGCGCCATATCCACCGACCACTGCCGCAAACCTGTCCGCACAGAGACCGGTGCCGTAGAATGCTATGCTCTGATCTGCGTTGATCATTTTTGCTCATGAAGCCAAATGGCGTGGCTGCAGGAACGGCCGAGTTCTGCATGGCCTTGGTCAGCTCAACAGCCCAGAGCCACAGGCGAAAGCTTGCTACTAAACCGAGCGAGCGATGACTAAAATCGGAGACGCTTTCGCCAGATAAGCCTGACTTTGCAACAGACTGTCTCGAACGTCTGGCAAGGCAGCAAAATGGCTCTTACATGTCTGAGCGCAGCCAGCCCTCAGCTCAGACAAAACTCCACTCGCAGTTCTGCCCTGCATGCTTGTTCGTGGGTAGTTGCTAATCTTACCAATGCACCTAGTGGCCACCTCTGGGGGCGCCTTGCGACGAATTGCGACGCTATGTCAGACATCGGAACGGCCGCAATGATGATGATGGTGGTGATGACGACGACGGTGGTTCTGAAGATGAAGCACATGCTTCGACAATGATGATGCTGATGATGCTGATGATGGTGATGATGGTGGTGATGGTGGTGATGGTGGTGATGGTGATGATGGTGATGATGCTGATGATGGTGGTAATAGTAGTGATGATGCTGATGATGACTATGCATCAAGACGATGCCCATGACGATGACGACCACGATGGCGATGGTAAAAACTACAGCTGCATGGGCCTGAAGATCTAGATGCTGATAATGACAAATGTGCAGATGACGGCGGCGATGACAGCAAGACGCAACTCGAGCCTGGCCCCGCTTTCGTGATCTATCTACTGGCTTTCGATTTCTTGATTGGGTGCCGCCCGACGGCAACTTCACAGTATCGGCCGCAAGCCTTCCACCCCCCCCCCCCGCCGCAGAGGGGGGAGGTCTTGACAGGTGGTCTTCAACTCTCTGTACATCATCATCATCCACAACAGAACGAGCAACCTTTCTTTCTACCGCCCAGTGGCTCGTAATGTGCCTGCATGGCTGGCGACCTCATCCAATCTGGTCCGAAGCGCCCTCCTTGCCGCAAGAAAGCCCTAGAACAATGAAGAGAATATTCGCGCCCCAACGCCTCCTCCATTCCATACATACAATGATACATACGATAGGCAGCAGGACAAGACCTGGTGACGCGGATTCAAGGCAAGATGCAGATCACGGAGGTTGCACTTCTCGCACAGATCATTGGTGAGGTCACTCCTACGGCCAGTTGCCGTCCGAACAAACAAGAGCGGAGGAGCAAGAAGCAATGTGCCACACGCACTCCTGCAAACAGCTTCCCGGGACAACCCGACCTCAGCGAAGCATTCAAGCACGACTGGGCTTAGGACTTAACGGCAGCTGCCGGCACTGTCTCAACTTAAGACCAAAAGAACTTCTTTGAGAGCAGCCTTTGCCAATGCCCATGCTTCTCCCCGTACGCTCAAGCCAAGGCCAAAACCTGCCCCAACCGGCGCTGCGCTTGCATCGGAGCTGACAAATGCGAGGCTTTCCTCTGTTCCCTTTCCATGAACGCAGGTTCCCGAAATAGAGGCACGGTACCCTTTTGGGAGATTCCTGTGCTCAAGATTGAAGATATTCGACTTGAATCTGCTTTTTGAATCTCAGACGTACAAAGTTTCCTTGTACTTGGTGCAAAAATCACTGATTTGACGCAATTGGGGGCTACCCATTCATTCTGGGATATTCCCCATTCGTTTGCTTGGCTCAAGCCTCTAGTGGGATTCCGCCACGGATACTTCGATGACGACCTTGTCATCGATCTTGGCTTGGCAACCCGCGTCAAGCCGACTGCATGCAGCACGGGTTTGAAACCATGTTGCTGCTTTTAACCCTTGCCGTGGCCGGTCGGAAGTGATTTGGAAAGGTACCTCTGGCGTTTGAAGGTGGAAGTACTTGTACAGATTTACTAAGCGCAACGTTTTGCAAAGCAAAGCTAGCAAAGCATGGATGGCGAAAAGGGATGTCAAGGCTTTGTATGGGAGGCGGGAAAAATGCGAACATGGCAGCCCCCCGCAGCAAAAGTAGCGTGGTTGCGCCTTTTGCCTTTGAGATTTTTTCGCGTCAAATCGAAAACAGAGCTCTGGACACAACATTCTCCATCGTTCAAGACATGCTTTGGCCGTGCTCTGACAGCGGGTGTACATAGCCTGGACGTCCTAAAAACGCAACACCGCAGAGCCACGAGCGTCTCAGACACCCAGAACACGCACCGGATGATGCATCACGAAGGCGGGATGTAACCTCAGGGCCATGTTGAGCCAAGGAGCCATGCGTGCGAGATTCTCTCGCGGAAGCGGCGCAGCAGAGGTCGAGTCGAACCAAGGGTCCTGGGCTTATCACGTGCACATGCTGACAGGGCTGCGGCTGCGGACAAGAGATGACAAGGGCGGGTAAGACTCGCAAACTCGCAAAGTACTATTCTCATCCCAACACTGAACGCAAGGCCGCGGGGCCGTAAGCAACGCAGCAGCCCGAGGGCGCAAAGTTCGCCTCTACGTCAGGTGAGCTCTAGGACTCTAGGAAGCAAGGACACACATTGATCCAAGACAGTGGGAAACGAGTCTGAAAGCCGGATCAGCTTAAGGTTATTGCTCTTTCTGGAGCATTGCCGCGACGATTCCACCGAGCTGTCCTAGGTGCTCGGCTGTATGGCAACATCTTCTCACGTAAATGCTGGCAAGTTGAAGTAGAAGCCAGGATACGCCACTGCTGCGGAAATTGTTGCCAGGGCGGCGGAGACTGCATGGTGAACTGCGCGACTTGCTTCAAGTCCTTGCGCAAGAAGGCACGAGAAGAGCATAGCTGAGTTGAAGTTACAAGCGGCAAGGCCGCAGCACAACACCACAGAATCATGGCAAGATTCTGCACCCTCTTGGAAGATTCCCTTGTGGACTCCATCGGAAGAAGGCACACGGCCGGCGAGCATCTGGAAGAACACAACCTTGGGCTTTTCAGTGCTTCAAAAAGGTGCTCGTCCGGCTGTTCGAAGATGTTGGCTGTGGCATCTTGCCGAGTCAGTATAGTCAGTGCTGTTCAGTCAGGAAGCTCCAAGGCTGAAGATGTCCCCTTGGGGATACCAGACCTGTCAACACAAAGCCTAAGCCTCTCTGAAGACCTAGGTGAACGGCAAGGGCGCACAGACTCGTTCCACGTCTCAGGAGGGATGTAACCAGGCCTTACGCAAGTCGCCATCATGCCGGGGAGCACGCCGTGTCTAAGCCATGCACTGACACTGAGCCACAGACGTGCCGGAAATGTTTTGAAGCTTCTTGGCAAATGCCTGAGACAATCCAAAATCGATGTAGACCATCCGCGGGCCTCAGGCTCAAGAAGCTTGGGCGCAGCATACGATGGCTCACCCTAAACAGAGCCTACGCTTCCGTACCACAAAACAGCTACACATGCTTGGTCGATGGCTCCGATAGTCACCAGCGTCTTTGATCATTAGGTTTGGCTCCTGCACACTCGAACCAATTGAAAAACTTTGAAATGCCATGGGAACACGAAAGTCACCGTGCCACCGCCTTGATGTCACAGTGCATCTGGGCGGACTTGTGCCTGCAGAGTACAAGAGGCCAGCCCCAGACGTCAATCAGCGAAACTGCTGCCTAGGTGCAAGTAGTCCAATCCGACTAAGCACTGGCGGAATAAATCACGCCACCACCCCTCGGTCATGTCGACTCCCTGCGCGTGGGCCTGGTGCTGAGATGCACATGCTGCGGCATCCAAGATACAAGACAAACTCGATTCAAAAGTTTGGTGACCTTGTGGGCCAGCTTCGTCCAGTCGCCTCCGAAGTAAGGTTCATTCACCTTGCTGTTGCGATGCAGAACAGACGGACCACCTGTGGGCGAACACTCAATTCATTGGAAATATCGGACCCAGGTACGAGATAGTAGAAGTCTAAATCCTGGAAGGTCTCATAGGTCTTGGCGACAAACCTTCACATGCCGTTCCACACTCTCTGTCAGAAGATGGAAGCACACAACGCGGCTACGCCGGATCGCGCGCTTTTGAGGTCGGAGCTCGCTATTGAACTGACGCATTCGAGAGAACTCATCCACAAGTTCATGGATGCTTCCTGGGCACGCCAGCAAACATTAACGAGGAGGAGTCTGAGTGCTGCGCTGAGCTGTTATGAAAGACACCTGTCCAAGCTTCTGGCCAGCATGCCCCTCCTCCGAGCTGCAGCAGTGCTCACAAGTTCTTGGGGCTTGAAAGAGAGAAGTAGAGGGCCTTCTTCGAGTAAAACTTGATACAGTACTCCTTCTCGTCATCTCGGCACCGCAGACAGTATCTTTCTAAAGCACGCGGCGGAGTTCAGGAGGCATCACGAACCAGGCTGATTGCGCCAAGCGGCCGTCCCTGCACATGAGGAAGCCTGAGCTTGCTTGCCTCGGGCGACCCAGACCCGTGCCATGATAGCTGGTCACTAGAGTTGCTACATTGGCTCTTCATCCTTGGTGGCCGGCTTGGTTGCCAGATACATGACGCCCTGGCCTGACGATGCCCCGAAACGTGCCCCAAGTTCTCAGGAGGGATTCTCGGCACCTCCGCGGCCGAGCTCACGCACCACCTCGAAGGACAATGGTAAATGGCGTGAAACCCCCACGAACCGACAGAGCGGCAAGAGGAGCGCAGGCTTCGACCGAGCGGCAGAATACCCCGCTTCGCGGGTCGTCTTGTAAGGGACCTGTGCATCGTCGTCCTGCGAGAAAAAACACTCCGCCGAGACTCCGAGCCCCCCACTAACCCCAATTCACTTCGCTCACTGGCCTCTGGTTTACCACCAGCGCCCGCCCGCCTCTGCTTGAGGATACCTGCGTGTGGCCATCTCAATCAGAGGAACGGTGGTTTCGAGGCATCTTCAGGCGTCCCCAGGCATCCCAGAACCATTCAACTTCAGCTCAGGAACCGCGAACCATGCATGTCGTTTCCTCTTGGTTAAGACGCGCGTCACCATCGAAATCAAACCTCAACTGAGGCAGCTGCTTTGGATTGCTGTGATCTTTGCCAACATGCGCATTTCTGAGTCGTCATTTATTGTTGGTACTACTTCCTGAGGGTCATGCTGATAAAACTGGGTCTCTAGGTCGTAGAAGAAGTTGTCAGGGATCTTGAGGGTCTCTGACAACCTGGAGATGGTGCACATCAACTCACACGCGCGCACACACACACACACCCAACATGTGCCAAACATGCGCCATTGGAGCTCAAGTGCTCAGACACCATAGCAGTAGCACCCGGAAGGTCCAGGACGGGCTGCCCGTGAACATCCTTACCTGCAACAGGGGGTTTGGAGATTATTCTATTGTAATAGTTTGTATTGTGTGCTGCTATCACAAAAGTATATTTAGTAGGATCAGCTGAAAAAGGCGACCCCGTGAATCAGAATCTGCCTAGAGAAATCGTGCGCCTGTGGCGTGCTTCCTGAAGAGAACTCGGGTGTTCGAGCTCTCGCGGCCCGTGTGCTTCAAGAAGGTGTCCACTGTCTTGTAGGCACTCTCCTGGCAAAAAGGGTGTCTGAATCAGACTCAATCGCCTGGTGTGAGGGGTGGGTTTCACAATGACGTTGCCAGTCTGGCGCTACTGTTCCAGCAATCTTATGATGTCTTCAATGTCAACTTCGCCTCATGACGCGAAGTTCTGTCTGTAGCCTATCCTGAACATTCATGACGAGCGTGACATGTGCGTTGGGTTGAGCATGAAAACCGGTGTGGCAGATGCCCCCGACCACTCTCCCGAGCGAGCTGGACTTGCTACCCAGAGAGGGCAGCCTGCCCGGGCTTTGGGAATGAAGACTGCTCATTGTTGTTCTGCATGGATCTCCAGTAGAAGAGCATCTCGCAACGTTCCACTTTAAGGCAAGGGCCTGGGGCTTCCGACACCTTATCGGTACGCTTCTGGAGTCTCTGTGGCATCCTTCTTCCACGACTCATCATGATTCCACGCGTGCTTCGGGAGCCGTGTTGTGGCGAGCGTCTGCCAACACACTTCGCGGAGTACTTCGTCGCAGCGGCATTCCTGCTCCTTGAACTTCTGGGCCCTTTGGCAATGCAGCGTGCAAGATTGGATCGGCATTTCGGTTCGGTTCGCAGTTTGGTGTCCTCTAGAAGGGTGGGAGGCACACAGACTTCGGACCACTACACAAAGAGCATGTAAAATCCCGTCACAACTGGCTGCTTACTTACAGGTACAGGGGCCAATGGGATCCTTACCTTCTCAAGGGCACCCTGACGGCACCCGATCCTTCAGCGGGAGCGGCAGCTGCTGCCACTGCTTTTCGAGTTTCTGCCTCTACAAAGGACAGTTTAGCGGCTCAGCATGGGCTTAGCATGGGCTTAGCATGGGCTTCGCATGGCTTCGCATCTCCGCTGCAGGCCTTACGGAGGAGCCGAACTTCATGCCTCCAAGCTCTGGCAGCTCTGGCTCAGGAAACCGCGGAGACCTTGCTCGCGTACTTGATGAGAGGCACATGTTTGCTTTTCCTCATCTCTTGGAGTGCAGCTGAGGGACCGCTTGGCTCCGAGGATCGCTTGTCAGCGGCTTCATGTGACTAGCCGAGTTGGCTCCAAAGGGGCTGCGCGCAAAAAGGAGTTCTGGAAGAAGCACGATCGCCCACATTGCAAAACATGCACCGTGTGAAACTCAACGCCAAAACCACATGTGCACTTGCCCCGATTGTGCCCGATTGAGCTTGGAGCATGGACTAAATGTTCATCAGCCGCACTGTGCCTGCAGACTTGCCAACGGCCCTTGACCCATTCAAAAATGGACCGAGTGTGGGGCACTGTGATCTGTGCCCCGCGATCTGCAGCTGCTTTGGCCGAGTCCAGAAGCGACTGAGTCAGGTCCTCGCTGCAGAGGATGACGCATCGTATGCCAGAAGTGTGAGACAAAAAGACGCATCGTAGACGACACATCAGAACAATCACACCACATTTATTCTGAACTATCCCCAAGAAAAAAGAAAGCTCTCCATGCAAAAGACAACAATCCTGGAGGTCTCCCGGGGTCTCTGCCGGGGGCCTCTCTCAAACAGCGCGCAACCGCGCGCCCGACGCGAGAAAACAGAGAAGTGCGCGCAAACTTCCGGGGTGCTCCCGGGCATTGTGCGCCTTAGCAAGGCCTCCGGCAAGGTAGCCTGCGAGACTAGCAATATGGGGCAGGGCTTTCTGGGAGACTTTGGGAGCCCAGTGAAGCCCACGAAGCAGAGCAGGCAATGAGCCTGTGGGTTCAATGCCAACACACCATCTGCAAGCACACCACCGTGGAGAAGAGCCTGCGAGACCCACTTGCATCCACTTGCATCCACTTGTCAAGTCAGGTCTTCGTAGACATGTCAACGGAATGTATGCTGCTAATAAGGTCTGGGGGCAGCAAACCCGCCCATGGAAGCACCAACCTCACAAGTCTAGCAATAAACGGTCTGGGACAGTCTGCCATCAGCCCCTGATTGTCGGGGCCCTGCAAAAAGCATCTTCGAGTAGCGAGGCCGCAGTTCCCGGAAAGCTTCTTGCAGGGAAGGACCTTCAAGGAACCCTTCAAAAAACCCTTTGCACCAACATCAGACTTGACACAAATCGCAAAGGCAAGGCTGCAACGATCTTCCGAGTACCACCGCATGCGATGATCGATGGCCGTAAGCCTCGGCCACACGCATTGAACCCCCATCGCAGTTCTAACCCAGGGAAACACCTGAAACATGCAAGCTGGCCACACGTCGAAGTCCAGAAGCTGTGCAACTTGACACTCGCAGTCCTCACCAAAGACACCCAAATTCCCTTACAAGTGCGGGGGGTCGTTGTGGTGAGGTCAGGTCCTGCTCCTCTTCAGCTTCTGGTGTGCCACAAGGGCTTCCATGCCAGAACCTGATCAGAAAGGGTTGTGAAGGGCCGGCCCCGGCAGGCTTAGAGCAAGCTTGCCAACACATAACACGCCTTGACATCTTCTCGTCAAAGTCACTGGCGCTCGGTGCCTCCGCCGCTGTTCTTTCATTTTTTGCACTGGACAGATAGGACATGCTGCCTCCAGCAGGTCGGAGAGGGACATGCAAGCGGGTGGCAGCGGCGAGACCTGCGTTCCACACAACGAACAGTTTTCGTAGAATAGGAAGCAGGCGTCCGCTCTGCACAGCGGCCTGCCCGTGCTCAAGGAGGCGCCGAAGGAATCCCAACCACTCGGGCTCACCCTGAAGAAAAAGAAAGCTCTCCTCTTACCGTCCCACTGCCTACTCCCTTGACTCTATGATCATCACTTTCCCATGACGTTCTTTCTCAACTTTCACAACTCCGGGCTCCTGTGACGCTGCGAAAGCCACGATCAGAAGCTGCGCAGGTTGAAGGGCCGGGTCAACAGGCCCGCCAGGTTCTGCCACTGATTTGACGCCTGCTTGCCTGTCCCAGGAAAGCAGGGGGAGTTTGGGCCAGTTTCGTTGCATCCGTCTCTGCCCAGGGGCCGTCGGAGCTGCGATGCCCTTGTCAGCTTCAAGCTGATTTGGCTGGAGCCCCGCACCGGCAACATCTGCAGCTGGGAGCTCGTTGCAAAGCTTGTCGGAGGTGAATTCTGCACAGCTTCTACACTTGGCTCGCCAACGAAATCTCAGCACGCTGCAGTGCCCACGGAAATCGCTGCAGGCAACTCCTCCTTACAGACCTTACGACAAGTGACGTTTGTGTAGCAGCCCATGACTCATGACACCTCATGATTCATGGTGAACTTGGGTCAGGTGCCGAAGGCGAAGCTGCCAGGGCTTCCCGCACCTCCCATTGCGCCGTTCCACAACACAACAATATCCAAGAATACTCCGTGATAAGAAATCGGGCAGTGGTGCAGGCACCTGCTGCGTGTCCAGGCCAAGCGTCTTCACGCTGGACCTCTTCAATAAAAGCGAGACAACGCAACGAAGCCAAAAAAGCAGAACTCTCGAAGCCCTGGGCCCCTGAGCCCTTCTGGTCTAATTGCCCGCCTCGGCACTGCCTCGATCAAAGCCGCTGTGGTGGAGGGCTTGAGAGGATTGTCCTCCAGCAGGAGCCTGGCAGGGGAAATTTGGCAAAAGGGAACTTTTGGATGAAATTGGCCAGGGCATTGCTGGCCCGCGTGAGAAGCAGAAGCACGCGCCCACCTTGTCAAGCCCCGGCAGCCTCTGCATAGCAGCCGATTCAACAGACCCGCGGTTCGATGGGGTCCGAAGGGTTCGAAGGACGTCGAGGCCTTTCGTTCTTAAACCTTTTCTGAACAAATAGTGCATTCAGAGTTTGCCTTGCTTTTGCCTTCATCCGTCCCCCTGGACACTGGATTTGGTGTAAATGTGCCTGGCATGGAGGGTCCCTTTTCCTTTCCCTTTCCCTTCTCTTTGCAAGTTTGGAGCTCCATTTCTTTATGCTTTCTCCTGCAAGGCACGGGGCGGCATGGGGAGCCTGATGGGCCTCCCTCTCTCTCTGCTACTGCTGCTCTCTCTCTCCTCTCTTCTTCTTCTTCTTCTTCTTCTTCTTCTTCTTCTTCTTCTTCTTCTTCTTCTTCTTCTTCTTCTTCTTCTTCTTCTTCTTCTTCTTCTTCGGGGCTTGAAGGGTCCACGCACGCACCCTCCGCGCACAAGGCGCGCCCTGTCCACGTCAAGGTCGGCGTGAGACATGTATCCCCGCGAAGAAAGCCCCTTCCCCTAACCACATAATTACCCTCTCTCTCTCTCTTCTTCTTCTGGGCGCGCCCAGGTCAAGTCCGGTCTCGGTGAGATTTCTCTCTCTCTCTCTCTCTCTCTCTTTCTTTCTCTCTCTCTCTCTGTCTCGCTCTCATGTACCGAGCTGGCCCGCCTGACATGACATTGCTGGACAGCTCTGTCAAGCAGTTCCTGTGGGTAGGCAGTTCATGTTGCCAATGCGGGAAAGTGTGGGCCAAGACCAAACAAAGGCACCCATACGCCAATAGCCACTCCAAGCCTGCAAATCTCTCAAGGTGCACAGCTCGTGGAACACCAAGTCTGATCACAACTCTCGTGGACGGATGCTTGCTGTCAGCGCAGGTCCTTGAAGGGATGATATACCTTCCGGCAAGGATTTTAGGCCTTGTCACCACAAGCAGACTTGTGAAAAAACCAGGAAGTATTTGCACGACACTTTGACGCTTGGCTTGCTAGTGGGGCCCAGGCGATTTTGGGCAACTGACAAGATTCGCAAGTTTGTCATGTAGGCGACCTGTATTGCCAACAAAGTCTGGAGCCCAGTCTGTTCTTCTTGGCACAGATTGCAAGCCGACACAGCTTGCAACTCACACAAAAAGTCTCGTCCCATCCAAGGCCTCCTCTGGCAGCCGTTCCAACTGATTTCCCATCACCTGCAGAAGTGTCCAATCTTTGGCTGAGATACAGCTTTGCCTTTTGACAAGCCACGCTACACGGCACTCGGGGCCCTCTTTGGAATGAAACCGAAATCTTCTCAAAGCCTTGAGGGTGACAAGGTTGTGCAGCACGGGCGATCCCAGGGAAGCTATGGTCCGGATCTGGTTGCCGTGCACCTCCAGGCGCTGCAGCTGGGGTACGAGTCGAACCTCCTTCATCTTGTTGCCCGGCGTTGTCAAAAGCACCAGCTGTGCAGAAGTGATTTCGGGCAGTTCCTCGATCTTGTTCGCGTCAAGGCACAGCTCTTGCAGCTTTGGCAAGGCGCAGACTGATTCCGGCAAGGTTTTGAGAAAATTTCCATTGAGGTACAGGTGCGTAAGTCCAGTCAATAAGCCCACCTCGGGCGGAAGCTCTGTCAGACTGTTGGAGATCAAGCATAGCGTGTCCAGGGAGCGAGCAAATCCAATCTCACTCGGAAGTTTAAGCAACAGCGGGGACGCTGACCTCAGATGCGACTTGGCGATTGGATGCCTTGCAATTGCGTCACGTTACGTCCATAACTCTCCCACAAGGCGCATGTCCAAGTTGGTTGAGAAGCATGCCAACAGGAGATGTCGAAATGCAGATGTCGAAACTGCCAGACGTAGCTGGGATGTCTACGGAAGGGAAACGGGGGGCTTCGGAGTCAGACCGTTCCGCATGCACCATAAAAACTGTGCAATGGCGCGCCTCTCCTTACGATCGATCTTTCATGATCTTTCGGATGGCGTGCTTTAAAGAAAGGAACCACGAGCACGAAATACATCAGAATCATAATGTACCGTGCGTTGCGCATCCAACTAGAGCACGCATTGGAGCTTCCAAACTGCAGGACATTATCCACGCGCCAGGAACCGAACTCCTGATCACACCACACAGCTAAATTTGCCGCGCATGCCTGAAAAACTTAGACGCACGGAACACTCGTCGCAACACTTTTGTTGCTGCTCGTGGTCAGCATAAAGATGCCTCAAAAGTCAAAGTGGGGACCTTCACATATTGTTGGTTATCGCATCCAGTGACAATGAGAAAACGCAATGCTTCACAAGTTCGCTTTGCAAACAGCCTCGTCAACCGTTTCAGGTTCGACCAGAAACTGTTGGGTTGTTGTACGGGATGCTGCCACATGCCGCCACGCTGCAGCCTCATCTCCCGGATGCCCTCCACAGCAAAGGTGGCACTGGGCGGGGCCGGCAGCTCCCGGAAGGGCCAGCGGGGTGCCTCGTCGCTCCGAGCGACCTCCTGTAGCCGCTCCTCCTCCAAACTCACCCGTGCAGCGGCCCGACGGGCAAAGAGATTCGGGCTTCGAAGCAGCAACTCGCGCAAGCTGCTGGCAAAGTCTGCTTCGATCTTCACGCCACGGCCACCACCAGGGCCACCACGGGCCTCCAGTGACTCCTCAGCGCATTTGAGATGGCAGAGGCGTACCTCACTTATTGTCTCCCTCACCTCTGCACCATCTGCGGCGCCATGTGCAGGGCCACCCAGGAATACCGGCGCCCGAATGTGTGGCCACCACTTCTGCAGGTCCCACAAACAGAAAGGGCACTTTTCGGCTACCACCGCGTCGCCAGGCCTTCCAGCTCGTCCCCGCCCGTAGGGCCCGCGCTCATTGCGAGCCAAGGACGCGTCTGTCACCATTCACGTGACAGCCACGGAAATGACTCAATGTGTTGGCTTTGCGCTGCGAGGCAATCTAAAGGCCTAAAGCAAAAATCGACCCTGGCTCTCGAAGTTGTTGTAACGACCAAAAGCACCCTGCTGAGCTGTTGAGGTTGGCGCGTAGAGTCACAACGGGATGTGAACGGAACAGGCACGTGGAACATGCTGCGGGCAGATAGATGTTGCCCGGCACACCAGGAACCAAAAAAACAAGAAGCAGAAAAGCTGGAGATGCCCAGATCCGAGAGGTCTTTTGCTGATCTTGCATCTGGCTGAGCACCCCGCATGTGAGACGTATGCTAAGAATTTGATCTTCGTTCTTCGTTCTGGCATTCCTGCTTGTACATGCGTGACATACATGTACATCACCACAAGTTGACAAGCAGAAGCTGAATTAATTACATGGGCGTTAGGGCTTGGTGGAATGTCTCACGTTCTTGCCAAGTACATGAGCACTGACTGGACACAGGCGTCACCCGAGGCGTATTCGGTCGGGCCCAGAATCCTTCCAGCCACTGCGGCACAACGAAGAGAGCATTTTGGGCAGATCAAGATCAAGCCTCGGTGCTGGCCAGAACACCCGACCTGAAGCTCTGAATGCTCTGAATGCTCTGAATGCTCTGAATGCTCTGAATGCTCTGAATGCTCTGAATGCTCTGAATGCTCTGAATGCTCTGAATGCTCTGAATGCTCTGAATGCTCTGAATGCTCTGAATGCTCTGAATGCTCTGAATGCTCTGAATGCTCTGAATGCTCTGAATGCTCTGAATGCTCTGAATGCTCTGAATGCTCTGAATGCTCTGAATGCTCTGAATGCTCTGAATGCTCTGAATGCTCTGAATGCTCTGAATGCTCTGAATGCTCTGAATGCTCTGAATGCTCTGAATGCTCTGAATGCTCTGAAGCTCAGCAAAGGCTTCCTCGGCCTGGCTCTGGCTCTGAGGTACCGGCGTACCACTTGATACCTTCAGGAATCAAGACTGCAACAACTGCGGCCGGAACCTGGAGGCATCAAAGGCACAGAGTTCTGGGCCTGCAAGGAAATCGGCCGCTGAGGAACCTGATGCTGTGGTCAATAGATCTAAACACCACAGCCGTCTGCTCGATTCATGCACTGCAAGATCCTGCTACGTCTTTGCTATCCGTAGCTGCTCGCTGCAGTCCACTGCTGTTTGGGTTTTGGACCTTTGGATCTGCCGGCGGGTTCAGGAGAATGCGCACTGCTTCAGCCGCATCTGCCTGACACTCGCCCGTCAGGAAAGAACAATGCTACCAGCGCTGCCCTGCTGACCCCTCCCTTTGTAAACCACTGTGCGCGTCCACTGAGGCTGACAACTTACAACATCAGTGCTATGGGATCCCCACATCCGTGAGGCAGATCCTATCGTTGGTGTGCACCGAGCGGACTTTCATCCAAGGCGTGCCTGGACACATCACAAACACACATTCCACCTTCGAATCAATCGAAAGCTGCTGACCATGACACTTGATCCTCATGTCAATGTCCACTCGCCCCTTCGAAAAGGCGCTCCGCCATGGTTCGAGCACCACCGCATTATGCTGACCCCAGTCTGAGAGACTTTTGTCACAACTGCAAGTCACTACACGGAGCTCATGAGGCAGCTGAGTCAGCAACCGGCTTGTCTCAAACTGTCTGCCCAATCAAAGTCAAGATCGTCCAGCGCAACCCACGCAGTAACTTCAGGATGATCCTGCCACAAAAATACGGAACATGCGGACCTGTGACTTGTGATCGTGAGCAGCCGACGCTCCTTGAGCCATTTGCCAATCTCTCTAGCACGACGTTCGCACCAGGCATAAATTGCATTCACCTGCCCGGCCACAATGTCAACAAACATCATCTCCAAGCACGCTTGTGAGGCATGGGCGACCAACGCCCAGCTCAGAGCCGAATGAACACGAGTAAAAGTGATGTCTCACATCAAGTGTCCGATGCCAGCTGACATCTGATGACCATGCTGCGCCTTCTGAATCTCAGGCCTCGCACAAAGACCACAGAAGCCAAAAAGAGACACAAGCCAGTGGGGCCAGTGGGGCCAGTGGGGCCAGTGGGGCCGGTGGGGCCAGTGCGGCGGATTGCGAACCCACAGTCAACTCGAAGCATTTGCTTAAATACACATAGGCAATCTGAAGTTTGGGGCAGAGCCGTCCTTGGATGGAATATGGGTGTGCTGTCTCGGATTGACGGGATGTCCTGCAGTGAGAGTCGAGAATAGAAGTACTCCCAGTACAGCAGAGAACCGTGGCCCCACTACTCTTTCGCAGGCTCCTGGCTCTTCAAGACCGCATTGATCGACGACTTTAGATCGTCACCACGCCTGGTGACAACTACGGTGTTCAAGATGTTCGGCGAAGAACTTCTGAAATAGCTATGAAGCCCACAGCCTCCACTCAGAAGACAGAACGATGGTGGCCCCAGTCTGCTGCACAATCTGCGCTGGGAACAGGAGATAGCAGCTCACCAGCACATCCACACACTTACTTACACACACTCTCTCCCTCTCTCTCGCTCTCTTCCTCTCTCACGCGTGTGCTCAAGGTCCAGCTGCCAGCGCTTCGCAACACCACACGTCGAACAAGCAGGGAGGGCACCGCACGAAGGCTTCCCATAGCCTGTGCCGAGAAGTCACTCTCCTTGACCTTATTCGGTGCGCGGCCTAAAAGGCCTAAACGTGGGCCTAACACGTGGCAAAACGCTTGGCAAAACGTGGCAACAAAGCAACTCGCAGTCTTTCTTTCCGAGCTTGGAACATGGCTTTTGGCCTGCAAGCAAGGCACAGAGCACCACCAGAACATGCGACTCACCTTTCGCGCCGAATCATCTCAGATTCAAGCTGGCAGCGTGACTCCGTCCACAACAATCATGTCGATAGAGCCTCCGTTGCTTCGGACTAGGCCTGCACCCTTCCCGGCCCTTCCCAACTGCAACCCGCCCTTTCTTGAGGACCTTCCTGAGTAAGGCCCGAACCCGCAGGCAAAATCACGCCATCCACGTCTAAGAAAATCACCCTGGCCATCACAGCCGCGAACCATCAGGCATGCAGAAAGCCCGTACTGTGCTTCGCCTGGATTTGTCCGGCGGCGGAAGTGCCGGTCTGGACAAATGGTTCTTGACCTGGGATTGAGAAGACTTCGTAAACTGCGTGAAACACTACTGACGCATCCAATTTCTGGGTTCTTCACTGCCGCGGCCTGCCGCACCACTGCCACACCGAAAAAACATGCCCACTCTTGACCACGTGGAATTTCATTGCTCGGAATGGGAGGCAGGTTATCCAGCCTTGGCTGCCTCGTCCTTGACGGGATCTGGGGGCGGCAGGAAGTCGTAAAGCCTCCGATACAGAAAACCCTTCCCGGCCACTGCCCAATCAGGATGGAGGTTCTGGGATGGGGGCCCACCGACGGCGTCGTCAACCTAGGCAAGCGTGGCAGCGACAATGCGGGCGGCAACTGGTCGTCGCGGGATGCCGCGTAGCTAGGTGCGCTGCAACAGGGGCTGGTGTGATTTTTGCCTTCTTCTTGGCTCTCTCATCTGAGCCTGAAGAGGCCCGCTCTCAAAACAGAACAACCGCCAACAGACCTTTGAGGATCTCGCCCATGGCCAAGGTAAAGCCGTATCCCCTGGCCCAGGTGACCTAGACCTAGCCCAGCCCGGCCCAATCCCCAACCCGGCACGCCCGCAGCATACCGTTCCTGGAGCCGACTGAGACGTGTCGACGGTGGCCACGGTGCCAAGCCATGAATAGTCCATCTTCTGGCACTTCTTTGCACTCCGGCAATTAAGCAACACACTGTACTCTGCGCACAAAGGCAGGCAGTAGGCAGGTATTTTTGCTCCATCGCACAACGGCCGGCAACAATGTCGGCTGCTTGCGGTTGTAAAGGGCATCCATACTGCAAAGCAAACCCAATAAAGCCTGAAAAGCCCGAGTGCCTACATTGCTACAGCATTGCTGGAAGTCTCCAATAGACTAGCGTCCTAAGAACTGGTGCAAAGTCACGCAGCTGGTGTCTTGCGACCTGAGGCCATGGTCAATGCGAAACCAGCGGAAGTTCCGTGCCATGGCATGAGACCTTTTCCACCGAAAGCAAGAAGACCGGTCTGCTGCCCTGCCCTGGGTGGCTCCCTAGCCTGTTCAAGCCTCGGGCATTTTGTTTGGCCCAGGGCTGAAGAAGAGGAAGCAAAAGGAAGATGTTCCGAGACGTCCCTCTAAGGAGACCAGAACCCAGAGGGTGGCTTCACATTTCTTCACCTCGGACTTCTTGGACGGCGCCTTCACGCATGCCCAGGGCTTTCGCTGGGACGTCCATGCACAGAGCGTCCTAGGGGATGAGAGGATCGCCGGCAGCGCGACTTCAGGTTTCTTTGTGGCGGAACTGTGGAACTTTTCCACCTAAACCAATTCTTCTGCCAGTATGTTTTCCTTGTGCTCTTTCCACCCTAAAACGTTGCCCGGCTGCGTTGCCACTTAGGCCTGGCACGCATTCCTTTTCCAGGCATGGAAATGACCGGAGCGGTCTCCTGGAAGCCCAGCCCGATTTGCTCACTGAAGCCCTCTTGGCCTGGGTCTCAAAAGACCAACTCCGCCCCGGGGGACTGAGCTTGTCCACGAGCGCGATGGGAGCTGCCGCCGCTGTCGCCACCGCTGTCCATGGCTGAGTCGAAAATTCAAGAAGGAGGCCTAGCGGGGTGACTGGCGAGTCGGGCAACTGAATCGAAAACAGTATGATCCGAGTCCGAGACCCAAAAATATTGAGATATTTTCTGAGGCTTTTTTTCTGACACTCCAACTTGCCCAGGGACAACAAGGGACTACCTCCCCGTTGTTGGCACACGATTTGCCCGCAAAGCTGGGACCTCTCCTGAAAAAGCTGACAAAATGCTCTCCCATTCTTTCTCATGCTCTCCCATGCTCTCCGCGAAGTCAGAAAATCCCAAGCCTGCGGCACTTTGCTGCGGCACCCCCAAGGCTCCGACGCGAAGGACAGTCCTGAATGTACGAGAAGTGGCAGCTACAGCGAAGTCCAGCACCTAAGAAGGCTGCGCAGACAAAAGAAAAACAGCTTGGCAAAAGGCACGGCACCGCTTGCTCGACACCGCTACTGGTATCAAAGCCAAAGCGGAAGGTGGCAACATCTAAGCAGCAGGCGGACCAGCATTTTAGCACAAGCACGCATCTTGGTTCGCGGGCCTGGGCCTCATCAAAGATGGAACGAAGGCAAACCGACACTCTGCGCTTTTGTCGTTGGCAGTGCCGCCACCCACAATGTGAATACAACGACAACACACACCATGAAAGCTCGTTCCTACGCATTCCGTGTTTGCATCACTCCAACACACAACAATTACGTGGGCCACTCGTCCAAAGCCAGATCTAAATCGAGATTTCAGGTATGCAGGTTCCCAGATATGGCGATAACTAAACATGTGCACGCTCGTACGCCTGCCGCTAACGAGTCTCCAACACTGTCCATACATGCGACTACTTTTCGGGAGAAGATACACTCCGTACAAGTAAGAGAGATGCACCTGCTTTTGCATGTGCGGCTCTCTGGTTCAGTTTCAGGCTTCTTCAGGCAGCAAACCGAAAAGGCAAAAAAACGCGTGCACACTCCAAGCCACAAATCGCACAAACTTCCCAACCCCGGCGACTGTCTCTGACAAGAGAGTGTGGGAGTGTACCACTGAAGCCCGTGTTGCTCTCTGAGCGTGAGGCATTGCCTTGTGTCTTGTGTAGACTGTGTTGCTCAGAAATGAAGTAACAATTATATTTGAGAATAAGCGCTCCTCGACTCGGGTCAAGCTGAAGCCCGGATTCTCGCTCACTCAACACGTCCTGTTGTTTCTCTTTGGAGGCGCGTGTACTTTTTTTTCCAGGGAAAGGAAAAGCCACTTTACAGAGAGCCAGTTACTCTGCTACCAGTAGTATTTCCAGGGGAAGGAAAACTCACATTACATAGAGCCAATTACTCTGCTAGCTTCCCCTACCTTCTGCTGCCCCTCTCCTTCGTACAGAACAACAACCAACAAGTCCTGATAATCATGTGGCGCTGAAGCTTCGAGAGTTACATATTTGTTGCCAGCGCCAGTCCAAAGACAGAGCTGTGGTTGTACTCCTACGAGTTTTCTTTGAAATCGAACCCTTCCGCGGAACCCTTCCCCGCAGTCCTTCCACGAGTACTGCTTCTACTCGTCCGCTGCGTTTGCTTCCGCGGACGCTTCCGCGAGCTGCTTTCGTGCATCTTTGAGAACTTTTTTCGCGAGCAGATCTGCAAGGGATAAATTCGAACACGTGCCGGCTGGCCCAAAGTCAGCTCGACGAAGCGCTGCTGGAATTTCGAGCGGTTGGATCGCTACACGCGGACTGCTTGGAACGCCTCATCGCCAGGGAAGGGCGGGCATGGTTTTTCGGTTGCTGGCTGAGGCGTGTTGACTTGGGTGGTTGTGTGCGGTTACGGAAGAAGTAGTATTGCGCAGGCGCCGAAAGAGTGTTTAGCCGTCCTAAGGGAGTTCCTGCTGCAGCTTGAGCTAGCAGCAGCTGCTGTGCCGTCGGTGCTTCAAGAGCACGGACTCAATAGGAAGGGCCTTGGCCTTGAGATCGTCACGCAGGCTTCCGCGGAGCTTCCACGGAGCTTCCGCGCTTACGCGGCGCTTACGCGGCGCTTCCACCGAGGTCGCCTCAAACTTCGCGGATGGAAGGCCCCGAATCCTGGCTTGCAGACGACCGACTTCCCAAACCCATCACAACCCAAAAGACTCAAACCATAATTGTTTGTGCCGTCGCTTCCGCGGGAGCTTCCGCGGAGATGTGCTTCTGCAAAAAAACACACGCTGCTCAGCTGTCACTGATCACTCGCCTTGTGCCGCCACTGGCACTGCTGCTGCTGCTGGCAAGGATCGAAACGTCAAGGTCTCTGAACTGCCACATGTCAAGAACGCCCTCAGAGTACCTGTGCCTTTGCGTGGCGAGGTGGACTTGCTGCCACCTTAGGCTTCAGAGCAGAAAACTGTCAGTCCGTTGCAGAGACCCACGGGTCCAGACCGGAGCTGGCCGAGTCCTCGGAGGCAAAGGAGCACAAAGCGGGGCTTCTGTACTTCAGCGTCTGACCCCGTCTTATGTCTTGATTCTCTCTTTTTTCGTGACACTTGCCACACTTCGTTCGCCTCCTCACTGTCGCTTTCGCCCCTGCTGCTCGAGCTGGCCTCCTCGGACAAAACTGCCAAGAACGAGAAGCCACGAGCAACAAGCGACACCGAGCAATCAGTTGCAACCAAGACACTGAGTCCGAGCTGTCCTATCAGGAGCACACGAAGCCTCTGAACTGCCCTAGAAACAAAAACAGGCAAACCGCGTCCTGAATAACGGAGTCCTGAACAGAACCTACGACTTCCACAACATCCTCGGCTCAGAGGTGCAAGCTCTGAGAGTCATAGGGGCAAGATGGTAGCAGAACGCAGAACTGCCTGGTTTGGCTTCTGCTCTGCATTTCCGGCCTGGCTAACGGTTCATGTACACTCCTGGACATGCAGGCTTACGGGTTTGGGATGTGCGGGCAGGGCCTCACCATTTTCTCTTCTGGCTCGCTTTCCCTGAGGGCTGACGGTCACAGTCTGACAATGTGGCCTGTGTAAATGGTACACTGGTCAGGCCTGGTCATATGGATTGCACTTCACCTCCCGATCCTGGAAGTGCATAGCCATCATCCCCAAATTCCAGGCTTACCCTCGCACCCACAAACACAATCAAACACATGGGTGCTTGAAAAGAACTGTTGCATGGCGTCCTCTGTCCAGCCAGAGTCTGCCCCATCAAAGAAGTGCCAATACAACTTCGACCTCGGGCCATGACTACGGCAAGGAGTCGAGTGAAAAGCACTGCAAGGCACGAACCCAACTTCTGACGGTAGCTTCTTGCCATCATCCTGACGGTACCAAACCCTCTACTTGAGGGGTAGATTGACTCTTCGGGAGAGCATCTCGCATCTTCACATGTATCAGAGCGCATCTAAAACTTCGGCTTCTGGCGTCTTTTTGCGATGCGTGTGGCTTCTCGCAGTGTGCAAAACTCTTCGGTCACGGTGGGGTGCAGCGCAACTGTCTGATCAAACTGTTCCTTGCTGGCGCCTGCGCTCAAAGCAATCGCAAGCGCCTGAACAATTTCGGGCGCATCCTCGCCCACCATGTGAACGCCGACAACAGTTCCCGCAGAACGACCCCGGTTCGCAACAAGCACCTTGATCAGCACCATTTCTTGGCCAGCTCGGCCAGTCGGCATGGTGTGCTTTAATGGCTTGAACCTGCTCATGAAAACTTGAACTTCCCCGTGCTTGTCCACAGCCTCAGCCTCACTTAAGCCGCACGTTGCGACGGGTGGCTGGCTGAACACAGCACTCGGCACATTGTCATAGGTTGGAGCCCTTGATCGTCCACCGAACAATGTCTCCGACAAAGCCGTGGCCTCCATCAACGCCACTGGCGTGAGGCTTCTTCGAGATGTCACATCACCAATGGCAAATATTGATGGAACCGTCGTTCGGCTGAACTTGTCCACCAGGATCTTGCCACTCAAGGCGTCGACTTCTACCCCGACGGCTTCAAGTCCGAGCTCTTCTGTGTTCGGCCGGCGCCCCGTTGCGAACATGACATTGTCAACCTCTAGCACCGTCCCTTGGTCTGTTCGGAAAATGAGCTCTCCCCAACCTAGCTTTCTTCGCTCGATGCTTGCTGGAGTTTCGTTTGCATGCAAGTGGATGCCTCGCTGCTGGAGTGCGCTATGAAGGTGAGCGCGCACGTCCGCATCAAAGCCACGCAAGGGCTTGTCAGCACGAAGCACGAGGTGGACTTCCGAGCCATACCCGTAAAAGAAGCTTGCAAACTCCATCGCAATATAGCCCCCACCGACAATGACGATCCTCCGCGGCAGATGCGACAGGTTCAGGGCATCATCGCTCGTCAAGACGCCAGGCAGCGTGCTCCCTGGGATCTTAGGCACCGATGCCCGGCTCCCGGTTGCCACACAAATATATTTGGCTGTCACACGCTTTCCGTTCACAGAGACCATATGCGGACTCAACACCTGGGCATAGCCTTCAAAGACGTCCACCTTCGCGTCGTTGAGCAGCTCCCTATACTTTCCACTCAAGCGGGCCACTTCTTTGTTCTTCGTTGCAATGAGCCGCCGCCAGTTGATCCGTGGACGCCCATGGAAGTCCCAGCCATACCCGCGAGCATCGCGTAGCTCATCATGCAACTGGCTTCCATAGACGAGAAGCTTCTTTGGCACACAGCCCCGAATCACACATGTCCCACCCAGGCCACCAGCCGAATGCTTGTCGCTGACGACAGCAAATGGAAGCTCTGCCAGGCCAACCCGTGCACCGTATTTAGCGCTGAACCGAGCCAGCCGCACACCAGCACTGCCACCCCCAATCGTAAACAAATCATAATCATACGAATCGTACGAATCGTTTTCGGCTCTTGAATCGGTGATGGTGAGTAGAAACCAGCGCCCCGCACAGAGCCCCAGGCTCAGCAGACCCAAGGCGGCCAGAAGCTTCAGCGCGCGCTGCGTGCGTCTGTGCGGGCCGGGCCCTTCAGGTGCCTCCATGGCTTGTGCAAAAAGCGAAAGAAAAACATAGAACTTTATAGGACACGATAGAACGGCATAGAACACTATAGAACAACTTAGAAGTAGAACACTCATGAGCACTCATGAACACTACGAGTAATGATCACTGGTCAGCACTACATGCATGCTAGCACCGGATGTCTTGACCCGAGCCATCAAAGAAAAGCGGCTGCGGTGAAAGGCATGGCTGAGGCCGGCTGATGATGTCCTGTCGACCTTCATTTGGTGATTCCATTGTGCTTCCTTCTTCAACTGCATGCAAGAACAGTGGTCCTTGACCTTGAGGTAGGCGAAGTGTTTGGAAACCCCCAGCTCCTGAATACAAGAACCAGCATGTGCCTCCAGGATTCAAGCGCCTCCAGCGGCTCAAGCCCGCACAATTTGCTCCTCACCGAGTTTCCACCGACTTCTGTCTTTGGCATAATAGAGGCAGCGCTTCGCGTCGTCGCCTGACAGGAGATCAACAAAAGCGATTCTCAAAAAACACTTTCTCGGAGCAACCAAAAGGCACCTCCAATCTTGATCCTTTCGAAGGCCGGTTGACCGTTGTAGCCACCTTCCACTCGAACGTAGATGCCATTCACGGTCCTGAGACATGCGCTTGTACAAAGGATGGAGCGCACGCAGAAGCCACTTTGTTTCAGCTTTGGAGCAGCTGCATCTGAGCACATGGCGAATTCTTCTTGCTGGAATCCCGCCTTAAAACCAGCAGGGGCGCCCCGACATCCACGCAAACCGACATTCTAGTGACTAGTGCTGGCAAGTTACCCGCTCACTTGGATAGCACCATCAAGTTTGCCCTGCTCCTGCAGCCGCTGAAGTACGGCCTCCCCCTGCCGGAACACTTGCAAAAATAACTCGAGCTTCAAGAATCTTCCGCGTCCCACAAAAAGGTATCCAGCAGTCTGGCAAAAGAGGAAATACATCAGGGCTTCGAATAGCAGCACATGCTCGCGCATTTTGACAGAGAAAGCGTCTGGGAGCTACACATGCAACCACAACCTCCTTTGCCCAAGTCCTGGACATCTTGCCAGTATCTGGTGCACTACACATACATACATACATACATACATACATACATGCATGCGTACATACATACATACATCAATACATACATAAAATACGTACATATACATCTGTGTGTGATTCAAAGCCATGCAATTAATGTCAGGAAGATTCCAGACAGAAAAGCTTCGCTTTTGCAGGGATTCCAGTGCACAAATCATCATGGACGTGTGATGCCTCATCTTCATATTCCATGCATTGGGGGGCTGACACGGATTTCTCTGGTTGCTAGCATCTTCTTCTGCTCTCGGACAAGGGTTCGGTTGATCGAAAGAATATGGAAGACGTAATAGGGTTACGTACTATACAATACAACGGCATAAACCCAATAAATAAAGGGACACGCCTAAGCCCTTGGAGCCTAAGGGCGTACGGCACAGGAAATTTCAACAATCCGCCGGCAGTGTCCAGCGTGGACGACGTGGTCCCGTCCCCCCCGCCGTGGGTGGCTTAAAAAGGGTTTATTTGGAAGCTGATGCTCGGTGTTTTTCTGTGCGGGGCAGGTGCCTTCAGGGGACGCTGCCTTCGTCTCATTCCGCCTTCCTCTCATTCCGCCTTCCCGTACCACTTTGAAAGAAAAGTAAAGAGATAGAGAACAAGAGAAACAGGGTCACGGGGAGGGAAGGCACAGGGGTAAGACAAAGGTAGGAAGAACATGTAATTTCCTCTTCTCTCTTCTCTGTTTCTTTTTCTTTTCAGCAACCTCACTCCCGCTCTCTTTCTTTGTAGTTGCCTCCTCCTCCTCTTCCAACTCTACGAGACATACCACTCAGATAAGAAAAGAAAGAGAGAGAGCGAGAAAGAAACAACGAGACCAAGAGGGAGAGCAAGAGCGACGGGGCAAAGAGAAGAGGGAGGAGCACGGCAGGAAGAAATGTTATCTCCTCCTCTGTCTTATCTTTGTCTCTTTCTCTTTAGCAAGAAAGAGAACTGATATGGACTTGAGAAGGGGAACACGGTCTATGCCTCTCTCAATGTCTCGCCTTGTTTCATTCCCTCTCTCTCTCTCTCTCTCAGAGGCATTCGACTCATTCCCCCTCTCCTTCTTCAAATCTATTTCTTTGTAATTCTTCCTTTTCATTCCTTTCACCCTCCTCCTCCCTTTCCATTTCTACGAGACATACCACTCAGAAAAGACAAGAAGATCGAGAGAGAGTGAGAGATAGAGAGAGACCGAGAGAGAGACAGAGACAGAGACAGAGACGGAGACGGAGACGGAGACGGAGACGGAGTCGGAGTCGGAGTCGGAGACGGATCGAGACAGAGACAGCGCAGAAAGAGAGAGAGAGAGAGAGTCAGGGGGGAAAGAAGAGGGAGGGGCAAGAACAAGGTAGGAAGAACATGTAAATTCCTCTTCTCTCTTTCTTTTCCTGTTTTTTTTCTCCACAAGAAAGAAAACTGAGATGGACTTAAGCTAAGAGACCCTCTCTGTCCCACGGTCTATGCTTCTCTCTATGCCTCGCCCCGTCTCACTCCCTCTCTGCGTCAGCAAGTCTCTTTCCTTGTTCCTCCTCGTCTTCCAATTCTACAAGATATGCTGCCCATAAAGGAAAAGAGAGATAGAGAAAGGAGAGAGAAAGAGAGAGAGAGAGGGAGAGAGAGAGAGAGAGAACGACCGACCGAGCGAGCGAACCGGAAGAAGAAAGGAACAAGGTAGGAAGACATGTAAACTCCTCTTCTCGTATCTTCTTGTCTTTAGCAAGAAAAACTGATTGGGAGCAAAAGCTTTTCCAAAATTATTGGAGGACTGTGCTTGCGATTTGTCTTTTGGGGAGCATATTTCTGCCAAAATCTTAGGGGGACGGTGCTTGCGATTTGTCTTGTGGGAGCATATTATTTCCAAAGTCTTAGGGGGGCGGCGCTTGCGAATTGTCTGTTGGGTGTATAACTTCTTAAAAAACTTAGGGGGACGGTGCTTGTGATGTGCCTTTTGGGAACATAACATCTTTACATATCTTAGGGGGACATTTGTCTCTTGGGGACATAAATTCTTTCGAAATCTTGGGTCTTCGGCCTGCTTTCTTTCAAGGTTTCCCAAAAAATGGATGTCTCCGGTGTGGGTGTCCTTGTGCGTCTTGTTACAGAAAAAAGAAGAAAAGGACACCCTAACTTGGGATACATGTAACATCACTTGTTTCTTTTGTTTCCTTTTGCGCAAAGAAATGAAAGGAAGGCGGAAAAAAGGGAGCGCCTTTCCTTCAAGGTTTCTGGTGCGGGTGTCCTATTACAGTTCGTTTTGCTACAGAAAAAGGAAGAAAAGGACACCCGAAACACTTTGAAAATCTTGGACACCCATCTATAAATATTACTTAAATACTTCAATATACTTCATACGTGAATGAAAAAGGGAGCAGAAGATAGAAAGAACGAAAGGTGAGAGTGGACAAAGAAGCACCTTTTCTTTTCAAAGTTTCCAAAGAATAGTTGAATAGCTGTCTCCGGCATGGGTGTCCTTTAAAAGTGGGTTTTGCTACAGAAAATCGAAGAAAAGGGCAGCCTAATTTTGGATACATGTAACACCATTTCCTTTCAATATTTCCTCTTGCAGAAATAAAACGAAAGGAAGGCCACAGTGGAAAAAGCGATCGCCTTTCCTTCTCTGGTGTGGGTGTCCTTTTAAGGTGGAAGAAAAGGACACCCGAAACGCTCTAAAAATCTTGGATGCCCCTCTGTAAATATGATCTAAATATTTCTTACTGATATATATATATATATAAAGGACAGAAAGTAAAACGAACGAAAGGTGAGAGTGGACAAAGATGCACCTTTTCCTTCACGGTTTCCAAAAAATAGCTGTCTCCGGTGTGGGTTTCCTCTTAAGGTGGGTTTTGCTACAGAAAAAAGAAGAAAAGGACACCTTAATTTTGCTCTTGCGAATAAGTAAAGGTTTTTAGGCCTGATTTCTTCTTGTAAAACGAGTACCAGCTTCCAAATAAACCGGGTTTAAGCCGCACACCCCCCCCACCCCCCCCCACCCCCCTCCACACCACCCCCCCCCCCTGCCACCCCACCCCACCCCTAAACCCCCCTTATCCCCCCTTCTTAACCTCGCAAGACAAGCAACACCATCACCCTCCCCCGCCCTCACCCCCCACCCCCCCTCCTCTCCCCTCCATTGGGTGTAGCTCATGGCCCTCAGTGAACCCTGAGTTCGGCTTGGGTGGAACATGGCAAAGAGGGTCCAACATTGCAGAAACAAAGTGAGAGAGAGAGAGAGGGAGAGAGAGAGAGAAAGAGTGAGAGTGCACATTCGTACCAACTATACCGCAGTATCGGAAGCCGCTTTGGCACGCGAAGATAAGACAATGTTCATGCATTGCGAACTAAAAGCCAACAAGCAAGTGTCCCTTGGTTTGCGCATCATGGCCACACGGCCAGCAATGCTACAGGATTTAGTCAGTTTCTAGGAACACTACAGAGACTTCTCTTGCTGGGCTGCATCTGCACCATGCCACATCCCGACATGCAACTGAGGTTCGCTTGCCTCGGAAGGCTTCGGCCGCTTCTTTGCAGCCGGCTGCTTACTTTCCACACTCGGAATTCCACTGCCGGAGCGCACAAATCCACCACCGAGCCTAGCGCAATCACCCATGATAAGCCATCATCCAAAAAACTGCTCTTGCTCTGGCTGCCTCTTGTAGCATTCTTGCTTGAACTGCTCCACCTCCTCCCTGGTGGCGCCTTGCCTCAGCGCCATGACAGTTCTACCACCTGGCTCTCTGTCATAAAGGCTGAGGCGAGGGCTCGAATCTATGGTAGCAAGCTCCTTGATTTGCAAACTCAGTTGAGCCTACATGCACCTGCTGGCAGCAAGAGGAAATGAGAGTCCCACGTGCTATCCGCTCAGCCGCCTGCACTCAACACCAGAAACTGTGTGGCTCGCATCAGCTGCGGGTATCAATTTTGCCGAAGACCTCCTGGCTCTTGGCCGCCGCATGGATGGTTGTCTGGAAGCGTTTCTTGGTGGCGTCCGGAGTGATGAAGAAACACGTTCCCCTCTTCAACTCGGTCCTGACCTCGCAAATGAATGGGTTTCCACAGATTGCAAGGGCTTAGGATTCGCAAGCACAGCGTCCAAGTCAACTCTTCCGAATGTTGCCCTGATTAATGCACGCCCAAAACGTTCAGAAGGTTAAAATAGGTTAAGCAAGGTTCGAAAACCAAGGTTCAAGGAGCGAGCTCGGACCAAACAGCCCCCATTCCAAAAAGCTGCACAATGGGAGCTCCACCAGCCCCAGAAGCGCCCGCAACGCCCCCCCCCCTCCCCCCCGCCAAAAAAAAAAAACACCTGGATAACGCAAAGGAAGGAAAAGCGTAACAGTGAAGGGCCTGACCTGAAACGGCAACACCACTGGCAATGCCGAGGGGTCCCCTTTCAGGCGATAGCCGGATAGGCAACACGTGTAACTGTCGGACCCCAGCACCACTTTGAATATCATTTGGGGTTAGGGTAGGTGTAACCAGGAGCGCGTGCTTTTGACATGGATGAGGAAGGTCAAACCCTAAACCCGAAAAGCCCTTTGCGCATGCGGGCTCTACACGAATCTAAAGTGCGTCTGGAATCACAGGTGCAACTAGTAGCTTCACGCCCCACTGCCTGTGGAGGTACGGCAAGATACTTTGACACCCCAAAACTCTGAAATCCTTTTAACCCTCCTGTTCACCCTAAAACGCAAAAAAACTGTTCGAGGCTTGGTTCCGGCTCCAGTTTCTGTTGCGCACCCCCCGCCCTTGTTCGTGTTGCAAGGCTGCAGGTCTTTCCTGCTGCGGTTCTGCTCTGTCCTCGGCTGTTTACGTTCCTTTGTTTCGTACTTGCTTGGGGGCCTTTACACCCCAGAAGTTGGAGGAGATTGAGTAATTTAAGTGATCTAAAAGCTTTACTGCCTTCCAGCATGCCATGATCACATGCTGCTCCTGCCTTCTGATGCGCTGCACTCTCAGGAGGCGCATCCTAACCGTCGGGCGCATACATGAGCATGGGCTTGGTCGGCATGTCGTTCAGATAAGGGCTTGGAAGGACAAGCAACCCACAGTTGCGAATGCGAATATGATGCGGTGAAATTCTCGTCGCATTGAACACAGCAGATACAGTAGCGCTTGGCATGTTAAAGATGCCTCCAAGTCTTCTACTTTCAGCGCCGGTTGAGCCGGCTCTGCCTGCCCATCACACTTGCTGAATTCGTGGCCCGGTTTTTAGAAAGCGTGAATGCCCCGAGCCTCTTTGGCAGCAGCCTTAGGGGCGGGTGAGCTCTTCGGTGTGACAGCTTGTGTTGCCACATCTTGTGGTGCCTGCCCGCACCAAATCGCACGTGACATCAGCTTACACAACCCTTGAGGTGAAGTAGTGAAACCGGCTAGCTTGCATCACTTCACCTCGAAGCGGAATGCACAACAAGAATTTGCGCATATATAGGCTTCCTCAATGCACGAAGACGAACTACGCTCATGAGCATAAGATAGTTGCAGATGGTACTGGGATCAGCCTTCTGGATGGGCGTTGCATCCGTCAGAGACATGGAAAGTGGCTCGCCCAAAGGGGCCGCTGCCCTTGCCCAGTTGGCACAGATGTCCGTGGTATCTGCCTCACGAGACGTGGGAGAGGGGACTGCGGCCGCATGCAGCCGCAACACAAAACCTTCACAGAAAGGGCCTCGTCCTTCCCGACGCAGCGATTACAAAGCAGCGTTCGCAACTGCCTCGGTTACTTGTGGTTCTCGATGTGGTCTCGCGGCTTGAGAAAACTGAACGTAGTTCTTTGGCTCCAGCAGTTCTCACTTCCTGGTTAGCCATGAACCCAACCTTTTGCTGAGTTCCCTGTCAGCTTGCAAGCACCTTTTGAAACTGGGCTTGCTGCCTGCACATGCACCCTAAGGCCAGACCTCTTCTTGAAGCATGTTCCGAGACCGGCACTCTGAACCAGTAACCCAAAAAACATCCCAAATCCTAGACAATATCATGTAGGGAGCAACCGGAGCTGGGTTAGGGCTCCTTCCGCATGAGGGCCACGGTGCAGAGCGGGTTCGACCGCTCTGCCACGAGCTTACCCGAACGTTGTCGGCGACACGGGATCAAAGCGCCACCCGTCAGTCCTAACACGAGCGCAAAATTCTTCGGAATAGCATGGGTGCTATAAGCACCCGGTTCCTGACTCCGCAGGAGCTCCCCCTTTGCTCCAGACTTGCACGCATTCCAGGTGCCCAGGCAGTTTCTTGGCGGACCGCGGCATTCTACAGGACCTCTTGTGTGTGCCGGTTGGCTTGGACCCTCCACGCCATGTACCTTCACGGACTGAGAGGAGCTTTGCTTGCTTCCGACTCCGAAGTAACATCCGCTCTTGAAGCTGTACGCACGGCAGGTCGCAACGGCGCAATGTGAGGAAGCAACCATCGAAGAAATGGATTTTGACATGTGTGCGGGAAGCAAGTGCAACTGCTGGTTATGCACTAAAAAATCTCCCCAAACCTTTTTTGCATGCCACAGTAAAGCTTCGCTTCCATCTGCGAAGCAATGTGCGATGAGTCGGGGTGAATGGGTGTTTTGCTGTCTGGGGTTGCCCCCTTGATCCTCTTTTGTGGGTTGTGGTTCCTGTGTCCCTTCTCTTAGGTTCAGGGGCTCAGGGATTGTGACTGTGCTTTGGGGTCTTTCAGGGGTTCCATGCAGGTTGCGGTTCGACTCTTTTCGTGCTTGGTAGAAAACCCGAGCCGCCATGAATACACACCCTTTAGAGACATCACCTCATCCCTCACATGATTCCCTGGTATCAGATACTTCATCATCACTTCTAAGTGATCAACAACAGCATCAACCCAATGCGTAGCAGCAACAGCAACATGAAACGCGAAACTGCGACTAGCTCAGCAACTGAGAGCTACTCGTTAGCAAAGAAAAGCTTGGGATCTGACTCGACATCTGCTCTGGGCCGTCCATCTAGGAGCCTGGCACAGCTGCACGCTCATGCTTTGAGCCAGGCGAGCACAACTGCGCAAGGCCCACTGAGCGCCGCAGAGGCGAAAGATCCTCCGGGCATCCTCGCTGCCGGCTTTGGCGGTGCTGACACTAAACCTAAGCTCCGATACTGCAGCAGTCTGCAGCATATTCCGCACACTCAGACTACGCCGGCTACGCGCAAAACAAGGCCGAGTAGGCCCGATATGTGAACTTTTTTTGTCCGCAGGTGAAACTACACGAAACACACCAATGAAACTGGAACGCAGATGCGCGTCCTGGACTCGCTGTCCATCTGGCAGCTGCTGAGCTGCGATGTAGCAGATCGCTCGGTCAAGATCGGTTGGCCCCTCAACAGTCTCAGACGAGCTTGGGCAACACCTTAGCAACTTGCAGAATCTTGTACCAGCACACAAGCGCACCCTCAACAGTGCAAGTCCTTCCCATTGCATCGTGCACTGCAACATGCTGCAAATGCAGCGGCTGGAGACGACTGCGAGAGCTGCGATCTGCGAGCGGGCATTCGCCTCAGACAAGCAGCAGAGAATGGCAGAGCCCAAGAAAACAAATTTCGGCTTCGAATGGCTTTGAGCTGCTTCGAGCCTAGGGCCAGCGGAACTAATAAAAAAACAGCTAAGGAGCGCCGTTTCGTCTGCCTGTTCAGATTTGCAATCGCATCACTTGTCATGTAGGAATGCAGAAAACAAGGTGTTCCCCTGCCTGGTTTAGGTGCTCCTGCCAGCACTGCTGTTGCGACTTCCATTTTGCTGACAGCGCGTCCGATGCCTCCAGGGGCTCATCTTCCAGTGGATCCCAGGAATCCAGAAACTGCCTTCTCAGAGAACGCATTCATGGCCAGTCATAAGCATGTAGCTTTGCATTGGCGTGCACCGGACCCATGAAATAGCTACTCAAGTTTCGCAGAACTTGCACTTTGCTCCCGAGGCAGAGCTTTGCCAGAGGCACACTCCCCGCAGCAACAGTACCCGAACATCTGCAGCCAATGTGCAGCTCTTCCAACTCGATGGTTCGCTGGCCGTCTCCATAATTATCCACATCGAGGCACTTGAACAGCACGTGCACGTTGCCTGCGTGAGTGGCAGTGATGTCTTCTGTGCCCTACAGGCATTGGACAGTGCTTGGCCTTTCCAGCCACCATTTCTGCAGGCACGTCGCAACTCCGAAAACCTGTTGAGAGCAACAAAAGCGCACCGCAGCTGCAGCATGCCGCAGCAACACGCCGGTACACCGGCCGCTGCACCAAACAGAGAACTTCAGGTCTCTTAAGCCACAGGACGAAACTCCGCCACTTCGGTCCTTCGGGGGACTACACGAGATCGGGAAAGCAAAGCCAACATTACACTCACTTCACTCACAAAATCATCACTACAACTCTGCGGCCAGGCCTTGTCCATCGACCTGGAGACCCGCACCCCAACCCATGCATCAGAACAAGATAGCGAATACACTCATGCGAATACATGCCACGGGCCCCCAATGCTGACACGTGCCGCGTAGATCGGCAAGGACGCAAGACACCTCAACCTCTCAACGACCTCAACGACACACCTCCTAATGAACGTCCAGAGAAACAAAATTGACAAAAAACCCTCCCATCACCCTCGACATCACTTAATTTGAGTCTCGGGCTTGAACAAATGCTCGAAGGACCCGTAGTGCAAATCACACCAAGCCTGAAAGGCAGCTGGAGCTTCTTGGGCCGTTTGCTGCGAACTCTGGTGCCTTGAACGATGTCAAGATCTTCGCGCTAGCTGCATCGAATTCCCGGAGGGTGATGGTACCTCGCAGCTTGCTGCTGAAGAAAGCCTTGATGGCCCGTACAAGGGAACGCACATCACGCAAACTCATCTTCGTCGAGCCTGACAGATCGTCGTCCAAAGTTCTCCACGCTCCACCGATGTTGCCTTGAAGATAAGCACATGGTATGGATGCCCGATTGCACTGTTACACTGGCTCGCCTTGAAAGCCAACCCTCCGACAAGCCTCCTGACAGGATGCATCACAACACCAGGCACCAGATGCAATAGAAACCCACATCATAGCTCCTTGAACTCGCTCCAAGATACACTGTTGGAGTCCTTTGGGAGAGAAATTGCGAAAGTGGCACGCTGGAGTCGAAGGGCTTGCGCTTGTCTCTGGGCCCGCGGCGTCCCTGTCCAGGAGGCCCCGCCAAGCAGCCAAGGGATGTTCGTATCCTGTGCACAGCTGCACAGCTGCACAGCTGCACAGCTGCATAGAAAACAGAGATGAACAAGAAGTACATGGAGTACACTGCCAAGCTGCGCCCCATGATCAGCCGGCGGAGTTGCACCTTGCCATGAGGTTGAGCTCAACGATACGCAAACACTTAGTGAACCAGAGGCTGGTGCCCATGCTTCACCATCTGGCTCGGAATAAAGCCACTCAGGTGGCTCCCAGGCATCCAGCCATTCCAGATCTGATCGCGACAGGAAGCCGCAGCCAAAGTAGTCCAACCTTCTCAAAGGCATGAGCGCGATTTCTACCCTCCTTGTTGAGAACTGACGCCCTCTGCAGGAAGCATAAAGCGCCATTCGCCCAGCTTAGTCTCTGACGAAGCAAGCAGCGCCAAACGCGTTTGCTGATCCAGAATCGGTCGCCAACCAATTTGCTTGATGGCCTTCACGTGCTGCGGGTAAAGCCAATCGACTCAAACAGCGGACATGGAACACCTATGATGAGCCCCAAGGTCCTTTGCGAAGGCATTGATGAGCAATTTGGTTCTGTCGAGCACAGGCGGGGAAGAAATGCCATGAAATGCCCCCCAAAGATCCCCAAAGTAGCACCCGCACAGTGGGGCCTTGACACCCAGGAGCCCTCGGCGTGTAAGTTGGAGAAGGCATCAGAAACCTTGGCTCCGCAGGGCGCCAGGCCAGCTCAAAAAAGCTCATCATGTCCCTGAACTCCACATCCTCAACAAAACAACAGATTCAACTGCAACTGCGTAGCCGCCTCATGCTCCCAGGCAGAAGCACACGAGCCCAGTCTGCCTAGAGCTTGCTTGGACAACACACGGACAGAACCCTTCCTACGCCCCTACATGCCGCTACGCCTCGGAGCCATTTTCTAAAGCAGCCCAATGTGGCAGCTGACTGCGGCGCAAGTTCCTGTGGCACATCTTTCACTGGCGACTTTGTGGTCTGGCGGCAGACACGGGGAAGCCTCCATCCCCAGGCAGCCGCTGCCATCCTGCAGGACCAGGAGCACGGGAACGCCAGGAATGAATCTTGGGATGGAGGGTTGGTGGCATTCATGCGTGGAATGGCCGAGAAAGTGCTTTAGCAGAGCAATTGCGTATGGCAGTGCATTATCTTTAAATTTACTACTCGTGCACCTAAATACATCATTGTGCTCAGGTGGGCACTCAGCAAAGCACAAATGTCCTCGAAAGCATACTAGGTACTACTAGGTTGGGCCTACTTCAGGTGTCGGGGCTTGCACTGTGTCGGCTGTTGGCCTTTATGGTGGTGAGTTCAGGGCATCTGCTCCGTTGGGTAGCATAGCCCCGGCTTCTACTGAAACTTCTGGCTCTTCTTTAGCAGTGGTCGGACCAAGGCCTTACCCAGGGCGATGTCAAGGGTTGGTTCTTGGTACTTTGGATGAAGCTCGAGGACCTTCAAAAGCTTAGCCTTCAAGTATGTGACGCCGAGCTTTGAAGCAAAATCATCCTGCAGCTCGTTTCTCCGCACGTTCCCAAGTCCGGGCTACTTTTCTTGTTTGAGTATTATCAGCAAATTGTCATGTATGTGAATGATACTTACTTAGTGGATAAATCTGCAAATAGAGAGTCAAGAAGTGACATGCAAGAACAATTGCTCTGTTATCACTATATAGTGGAACGTACCACTGCAGCATCCCACCCGGTCGAGGGAGCGCCAAAGCGTCTGCAAGTCGATGCTCTCGCCTAGAAAGTTCGCACAACACCAGGGCTGTCAAGTTACATCGGTTTCTCTTCCGTGACCAAATTCGGCACTGAGAATCATACGGAGGTTCGTCTCATTGCGAAACCATCGCCTCGCAAGTGGCCACGCCAAGACTTGCTCTGGCTTGCGGCGCTGACATCACTGCCAGGGTCAAACTTGCCACGGGAAGTGGCCCTCCGCCCCACCGTGCCGTACATTTCCGGCATAGTATCCAAATGCTATGACTGAGGCTCCGTCTTGAAGGTCGTCAGCGTGAGTTGGAATGTCGCCTGGGCAAGCATCTGAAGCGATCCAACTCCAAGATCTTCACCCGACTGGCTTGTGGCAAGGTGCATCAGGGTCCAATGCCCGTCTCCAAGCGCGCACCTGGTGACGCTCAATGAAGCATGCACATCTGCCTGCTATCTGCAACACTCACACCAAAGCCTCTGATCCGTAGTTCCTTCGAATGTACTTCAAGAACTGCTGCCGAGCCTAGCAGCATTGGCAAGATCAAGGCGGGACCAAGTATAGGATTGTGTGCATGTCTGTCTACATGACTGTCCACTCCTGCATATTGCACCATGCAAAACGCATACCGTCTGAAAAGGCTCCATGTCACAGCCCAAAAAAAAAGGCGCAAACACAAAAGCTGCCCTTCTCATCCCTTCTCTTCCTGTCCCGGCTCACTGCACAGGACTTTTGGGCCCACATCAACCACAACCTGTACCATCTTGCCTCTGCATTCTTGCTTTTCTTCTCGTGGAACCAAGACTGGTTTCTGCGAGAAATTACCTGATGAAGCCGAGATCCACTCATGTCAAGGGGTGCGTATCCGAACTGAGCTTTCATCTCCGGCCTGCGGCAGCGTCTCGAAGGCACGATCATGCCAGGGGCGCGGGGCCAGTCTGTGGCGATTTGACACGCTGCGTCCTAAAAGGTCGACAGCACATGCCGGAACAATAATGGCATAAATTCCAACAAACGTGGCAGGCTTGCCGCGGTCTTCCTTGTAAGCTTCTGCCAGGAAGGCGTGGTGCACATCCTCTTCAGAATCCATCCAATCTGATCAAACCACTCCCGGCGGACTGGTTCGAGCTATTTGCACATCAACCCTCGCCGGCAAAGTATTGCGTCCTGCTTGGTGAACTTCAGCTGGCTTTGTCTGGTGATCTCTTGCCTGAGCCATGAAGTCCAAGCAGCTTTTACATTACTAGTGCGACTGAAGCAAGTACATGGCATCCGAGGTATGATCTTTGGGCATTATTACGGTCAATGGCACTGTACCAAAGCTTTAGATGCGGCACTTGGGGCCCTCTACGAGCTCTCTTGACACCTGTCGGTCTTCTTCACAAGCTGGCACTGGGTTTTCTCTGAACGAACTCCCTCCGCATACAAAGGCCACAAACATCACAGATGTGTTTCTTGTCTTTCTGTGCTGTTTCAGACCAGGGAACTGCCGCACGTTCTCATCCGTCTCCAAGAACAAGAAATCCTCTGGTGACAGATGGTCTTTTCCCTTGCTGCAAAGGCCTGGCAACCATAGCATTGGTGAACGGGGGATGAAACACATGCAGCACAACACGATTCCAAAGTTCTCACAAGTCTTAACCCGAGCACTCTGTAGGGTTTCGGCTGAAGAGGTCCCGCAAATCATGGGCTCCCGGGTCGAAGCCGTGCCTGGTGGGCGGCTGCTTTTTGGGCTTTTTGTCATGAGGGCAACTGCCTGCAACCCCGTCCTCCGACAAAGTGCAGCAAAGCCGTCGAAGCTGAGCTCCATGTTGCCGGCAGCTTGCATATCTTCGAGAAATTTCCTGGCAAGTGGCCGGCATGACACTTGAAAGCACATGCACACAATCTTCTCCGTGGACACAAGTAAAACATGGCCTGATGTTGCCAAACTGGGCAAGGAAACGACGGAAACGGCACACCAAAACACCTGCCTTGGCCGACCAGCGCTTGTCGCATACAGGCTGCCACCCCCCCCCTCCCCTACCCCCCATGGCGCTCCCCCCCTGTGGTGTGGTTGGGGGCTTAGGGTTTAGCGTTTAAGGTTTAGGGTTTAGGGTTTCGGGCTCACGTTTAGGCCCCGGTGTGATTGGGGTGTTGGGGTTAGGATTTGGGGTTGAAGGTTTTAGAGACCGGCTTGCCCCCCCTCCGCCCCCTGTGGTGTGGGTGTGGTGGGGGGGTTAGGGTTTAGGGTTTAAGAATGGGGGGTTGGCGTTTAGGGTTCAAGGTTTACGGTTTAGGAAAAGAGTGTGAGGCTTAAGGCACAGGGGTTTGGGGGCGGGATACCATGGTGCGGGGGCGGGATACTTTTTCGGGAATGGGGGGGGTAGGGCCCGGGAGCCCGAAACCATACATTGCAATCATCATGTCTCGTCTGTGTCTTCTCATTAGGCTCATGATGCGAGAACAAAGGCCCTCACCTCGGGCGCGATCTCGACCAGCGATAAAGATTCACAGGTTCCGAACTGCGTCAGGAGCACATGCGCTGCTGCCTGCCAGCCATGGGGACATGACAATACACACCCGCTCCAGCCCATCATTCCGGCATCAGCCTGCCTCTCCGCCCTCAAGGTTCGCAGCGAGCACCATTTTGCAAACATCCTGGAAAGTCCCAGAAGTGAGATGGTGCGCACATCCACATCCTGCCCCTGGACCCTTTTCCTGTCTAGCAGCTCGTTGATGGAAATCCGGATCCAAGGAGCTCCTGCATGGTCATACACGGCATGGCTCCGGTCCTTTTGGAATCTGCAGATGATGACCCCCGCACGCAGCCGATGCCTCCAGCCCCGCAAAACGCTTCCACCACCTGCATCCTTCAAGTGCTGCAAAAACCGGCTGCGGATAAGCGCGGCCACCTGCAACCACACGATGCTTGGCGAAAGTGATTGTGGAGCCCTTGTTCACACTCCCGCACCTCGTGTTTACCATCCAATGTTACTGGGCCAACCTTCCAGCACTTTCCGCTATGCCGCAAGCGCAAGCGCTACCAAAGGCGTAGCACCACATGCACGTCCCCCACGCTAAGTATCAGTATCAGCCGTCTTTTTTTCTTTAGCCGTCGAAAAAAAATTACGATGCCCAGTTGAAGCTTCGACCTTGTCGTCCATTCGGAAGCAGCAAGCAGCAGCCTGACGTGCATCCCCCATTTGACCACTGTTGCACATTCAGCAGGCCACGTCACCCCGCACTGCCTGAGGACCTGGCCCATTCCAATAAAGAGTGAAACGAAGGAACGCAAAGCCTTGAGCCTATGTTCCTTTCGCTGTGGAGCACATTGTCCCGTGCGAGATGATACAAGCACACGGAATCATTGCCCGGCTGCCAAATCGGTTCAAAAGCGAAGTACTCATTTCGAACAGAAATCCCGCTGCATCTGTCACAGTCCAGAACCTGGAAGAACCTGGGGCCATTGCTTCTTCGGTTTTCCCCGTTCGCCATCAGGAAAGGGAGCACCTAACCTTGCTCGACACAAAACATGATCGACTTTGCGTGCTTGCTTACCGACACGAAATGCACTCGCACTGTGGCGCAAACGACGCATTGGAGGAGTCCAGCTTGATTTTGACTCAGTGTTTCCACATGTGAAACTTCATCAACCCCACATACATGACATCACCACAACGCTAGACCGTCGAGGACCAACGCGAAATCCGTACGTGCATGGGATGTGAGAGAGTGGGAGAATGGGAGAATGGGAGTGAGAGACGGGTCCTTGAACGATCGTGTGTCATGATCAGAACTGAAAGTGACACAAGCCTTTTACGTGCCGCTCTTGTCGGATGCTTCCGGCATACTCTCCCCAGTGGCCCACCGTGTGGGGCAAGCGCATCCTGTGATCGGCGGGTGGTGGCCCCATACTGTAGCTGCCCTACTCGCACGGCCCTTCCTGCCCGTGCAGGAGCTGGCCAATGCTGTCGGGCATGTGGAACGCGCTTTCGCCTCGTCCGTGCAATTGTCTCCCTCGCTCCACCGCTTTCGGGAGTGGGTTGGCGCGCAGCAGGCCCGCGGCAGGTCCCTTGCTGAGCAGCTCGCTGCAATTGCGGTTCGGCCAGTCATAATCTGGCGGCGCCTTTGCCGGAGGCCCTGCTGACGCTGCTTCTGGGCCCAGCCGCAGTTGGCGCTCTCGAAAGGATTGACGATGCACGGCCACTGCCAGCAACCACCTGTGATTCGCTGGCTCGCGGCGTCTGCATCCCTCCAAACAGCCCACGTTTGCGCTACGCAGGGGGTTCGTTTTGTGCCAGTTGTTGTGGAGTCCACCGGGGTTTGGGAGCCAGCTGCCGTCCCGTGCCGTCGCCGTCCGGACCGGCGCTGATGCCGGACTCCTACATGCAGAGCTCCTTCAAGAAGTGCCAGTCTTGCTCCGCAGCCATCACGCCCGTGTGGCGCTTCGTTGTCGGGCGGAGGCTTCGGCCCCGGACGGCGCAGCGTGAACTTGTCCCGACATTCGGCCTCCGCTTGAGTCAGTCAAATTTTTTGCACGCACCTTTTTACCGGCAATCCAGAGTCCCGGCCGTCAGTGCCTTCCTGGTCCTACCTCTCAAGGGTCCGTGAAGCTTTTGCGAGCATAATTTGTAGAGTCGTACATGCTGCTACGGCCCATCGGCAAGCATGGGGCTGGAGATCCCGGGGACTCCTGCAAGCAGCATGAGTCCTGAAACAACCGTCTTGCGGTCAGTACAAAGTGAAACAAAACGATATCGACATATATACACAAACTGAGAAGGTAAGCCACCTCACATCATAGATTCAAGCCTTCCAGCAGAGCTTGACACACGCCAGCCACAAAGTGCATGTGGGCTGACAAAGGGCCTACAGTGTTGCACGGATGTTGCGGTGAGAAGAGCAGACGCAAAAACGCGTCGTCAGGCAGCTGCTCAACAGACACGTGGGAGCGGTGCGTCCATGCCCGTCACCACGGTACAAAGAGGGGGCAAGAGCGCAGCGCGTGAACAAGACTCCACGCCGCAGCACCAGATAAGCATGGCCGAGCTTGAGACCTGTGACGAGCAGAACGTCCATCAAGGAATGGGTGATGACCGCAACGGGCCAGCGTCCACTCGCGAACAATGGAAGTGGACACCCGTGAGCTATGGACAGCTGGGCAAAAGTTCAGCCAGGGATACCATTCGGCGAAAAGACGCAGTGACGGCACAGCCGCGACTTCAGCATGACGGGCAACAGCAGCATGCCGATCCAAGGCGGGACACATGCAGCGCTGCCACAGCACTACCGCTGCTGCCCCAGCACTACCGCTGCTGCCCGGCGACACTCCCCACACATGCGGCGCATGGATGCCACAGCCATGCCATCAGCGACCTCCCGCGCCCAAGAGCTTTGCTGGCCCAAAGCATAGCGAAAGACTCGTGCAGCAAGACCCCTCTGGCTGCCAGTTGGATTCGCAGAGCATAAACGCCCAAACAAACTGAACTGGCTCTTCAACACTTCGTGGCGAAAGGGGGCCCAACCTAACTCACCTGACACGGCCGCGCCGGGAGCCCCAGAAGGCCACTGCAATAAGCGACGGCCCCACTGCCGTAGCTTCCTTGTCAAAAAGGGCCACAGGGCGGGCACCGAGGAATTGACATCCGTACAACAAACACGGGAGCACGTATGAATGGAACAAGCTACACCGAAAACCTGTGTGCAGTTGGCGATTCTCCGCCCATGCCAGGAACTGATGAAATTTGCGGTTACTGTTTGCATAGACACGTTCACCGTGCTTGTTCCACTTTCGGGAAGATTGGAAAACGACGCCCAAGTAACAATACTCCGAAACCACGGGCACGGGGACATCATGAAGGGTGAAGTTGAAATTATGCGTCCTACAACCCACAACCAAGACAGCAGTCTTGTCAGGCCCAATCCCAAAGGAGAACCTCCAACGGGTGCCCCACGCCCCAATGGCATCGAACGCACGTTGCAAATCCGCAGGGCGGTCTGCCAACACTACCAAGTCGTCAGCATACAGCAACAGCGTGACTCTGGGTGAGCCGGGGCCACCAAGGGTCACACCAGGGCAAGCCCCGCGCACAGTCGTGGAAATGCTGTTGAACAAAATGTAAACAAAAGAGGGCCAAGCACACGCTCCATTTGCGTCGATGGAGAGCACTTTTGCCCGTGGGTCGACTTCAGAGGCAGCGCGCAGCACCCGGACAAGGGCCTCAGTGCCAGCGCGTGCTCAAGCCATATTGGAAATGCAAGCAAGCATCCTGGAGCTGGGAAAAGTACAGCTGGCCGACAAGCCGGCGCCGCACGTCCCCAACTGGATGGAAGCGCGGATGGGCTCCGCGTGCGCGATTTTCAGCGGAGTGGTGCAGGAGCGTACAGTCCTCCTCATGGCCAAGTAGGATGCTCAACTGCTCAGTGGTGGCACCAGACGGACCTGCAGCCGCCCCGCCGGGCGTGAGGAAGGAACGCAGCGGCAAGTTGCAGGCATGCTCCGGCTGGAACGCAAGCAGGTCTTCCCCGAGCGGCGCATATACGGACTTGCGGTCTGCAGCGTCCTGCAACTCGCGCAGCGTCTCGGGGGTGCCGGGCGCGAGAGGCTCGGAAACAACGGCACGCCCAGCAGCAAACAGCTCAGCCAAGTGAACGAGCGTTAATGCCCTGGCAGCACGAGCCTCCTGGCAGCACGGCCAGCGCTGGCAGCATCGGGTGCAGGCACGCGCAAGGCCGCATCAGCAGCAGCGAAGAGGGACCGCCAAGCTCCACTGCGGAAAAACGCACATCTTTGTTCGAGTTCGGCAGGGGGGATGCGGCTCTGGCCAGCGGCACGATGGAGCAGCATGCAGGCGGCCAAGTGCTGGAGACCTGCCCGTAGGCCGTGCGCAGCGTGTATTCTCGGAAGGACGTGTGAGGTGCGAGAGCTGCACTAGGTTGCCCGCCCGATCCCCCCGTTGCCCGCCCGATCCCCCAAGACCCGGCGCATTTGCGGGTTCGAGTGGCGGCCGCGCTCTGTCGACACACGCTCGCCAAGCTGGCCTGTCTGACAAGCCCTGGGCGGTAAGGGCGTCCTGCAAGCAGGGTGCGCCCGCCGTGCACGGGCCGCGAGTTCCTGCGGGCAATGCATCTGCCCACGCAGCCCAATAGGCCGCCGGGGAACCGCGCCCTGCAGCGAACAGGCCCAGGCCTCCCAAGCGCACTGGCAAGAACGCGATGTCCCAGGCGCGCTGGTGACTGGCAACGTCCCCAGGGTCGAGGCCCACAAGCTCGAGGAGGGTGCGCCAGACCTCATCGTCGTGTGAGCGCGCGTAGTCAGCGGCGAGCTCGGGCGGACGTTTCGCAGGAGGTACTGCGCCCGCGGCGAAGCGCAGAACAGCCGGAGCAACCGCGCGCACCACCGATCCAGGTAGCGAAACCACATGTTGCGCAAATCGCCAATAAGAGCGCAAGCATCGGTCAGACCATGTCGAAATGTTGCATGCTTGTATCTGCTCTGAAACACGGCGGTTCCAACCATGCAAGATCACATGCCATTCTGCGGACTAGTCTGTGCCAGATGGTGCGCCAACGACACCACGTAACATCCGCCCCTGAGCAACGTCGAGTTTGCGCAAGTCCGATCTATACACAGGCCTAGGAGACGCGTTGATCGCACGGAGACACTGGCGCGTTCAACATTGATTATTGATGTCATCATGAGTCGGCTCCTTCCGTCAGCAAGCGGCGCAGGAGCTCCTCTGGCAAGATGCCCGCTTGCGTCGCCAGGGCCTGCGGTTCCACAGGCCCCCCGCCAGCGCAGGCCAAAACACGTTTCGCCGCCTCGTGCCGTGCGGAACTTGCGAGGATGACTGCGGGCTCAACCCCCGGAGCAGCAACCAGGCGGCCATCCCTAGCCTTCCCACCAAATCCCACCACCACACCCGACCAATGCACTGTGGGAGCTGTGCGGCCCGGGCTTCGAGAGCCATCTACTGGGCGCATCCCCAGACGAAGGCGAACCAGGGGGACACGCAGCAGGGGCTCCTGCCTTCGGCCGCGTCGGCCAGAGGTCGCTGACAACCGGGGACTGGCCGTCAACATTGGCGTTTTGACCAAAAACACTGACACCGGAGCGCGGGACGAACAGTGCCGAGTCATGTTTCTTCGCTGACTTCGGTTACCC